GAGTTTCTTGTTTTGCTGGTGTTTATAGTTGGACAATGAACCAAATCGACGCTCAAGTTTGAACCCAGTAAAGTACTGTGGACGTGCAGCTACTGTGCTTGCATACCCTCCACCCGGGTAAAGCTTTATGTTGTACTTGCATGCTCTTCATGGGCTTAACAGGGGTGATAGCGTTTCCTCTGTAAGGCTGCAAACAGCTGTCATGTTCTTAAAGAAAGTGCCACTGTAATACTGTTCATTATGGCTCTCCAGCTCTCATAACAAACCTTTTCATTGTGGCACAGCATACTCTGCATGCTCCTTTGTATAGCACAAACACTTTGTAGATAATGAAGGGTCAGCAATGGGCATTACAGGCTGGAGACACTTTGTTTCCTCCCTCAAACCTTCCCTGTCATAGGACTATACTTTGGGTAATAGGTATTGTTTCGCTTGGCTACACACATCTAATTTAGCTTTGTAGTGCTTTGAGACACATATTAGAAAAGCAACAATAAGAGATTTTGTGGATGGTTTTTCCAAATCTGGTTTTTAAAAGTTCCGATTTCACTTTTCCAATTTCCATTTTGTTGTTCTTTTAAAAATTATAAAAAAAAAAAGATCAGATGTGAATAGTTATCTTTTTAGACTTGCTGCGGAAAAGGATTATCTAAAATAATTAATAATTTTGAAAGAGGCAGTTGTTGTAAATTAAAATATATATATATATATACACATATATGTATGGATGTATGTATGTATGTATGTATGTATTTACATATATATATATATATATATATATATATATATATATATATATATATATATATATATATATATATATATATATATATTCATATTCCCGTGAGAATGTGAAGGATTTCCTTTGCTGATTCTTATTTGAGTGTGTGTGCTCAGTTGTGAGGATAATTTTTAAAATTTTACCATCATATTGAGGAACCAAAGTGCAGACATTTTGCTGGTCCTCACAAGCTTTTTTTGATGACGTTTAGATTTAAGGCTAAAGTGTCAGTTAACTCAGGGTTAGGGTGAGTATACGCTGGTAAGTGTTATGTTTAGGTTTAGGGCATAGAAGAAATGAAAATAAATGGAAGTCCGTTGGAGTTAAATGTCCTTGGCACATATAGCAAGATGAGAGTGTGTGTGTGTTTTTTGCTTTTAATACATTGTGGGGCCCTGTTTTTGGAAAAACTAATTGGTTTTGGGTCAGGGGTCATTTTTATATGGGAATTGAATTTAGGTTGGGGTTAGGGTAAGTTATGAACCCGTAATGGTTAGAGTTAGGGGATGTAATGGCGTCCAGAAATATGATATAAATATCTGCTTGCCTACATTTTCCTCAAGTCCTCTTGGTCATTCTTGGGTATTTTTAGCAGTCTGTTTTTGATGATTATCCTGACAGTGGACATAGCATCTCTCGCTAAAATATCTTGATAGTCTTGAAATTTCATTGTGCCCTGACACCATGTTCGAGATGAAGCAAAACCCAATAATATGGGCAAATTTTGTCACAGAAACATCAAGCTGTCTGGAGATGGTCTTAAAACCTTTTAAAATGCCTGTGTATCATTTTCCTTCTAATTTCCTTAGACAACTCTTTCCTTCACTTCCGTTGGTCCAAGTTGAGTGTGGTACACACCGTGTCACCAACAGCACAGGGACAAGCACCCCAATGGCTGATTGTAGAAACCTGTGATGCCAGTTAGTGGACACACCTTTATTTAACACGTCCCTTTGGTGACATTATTTTCTAGAGGTACCATATTTTTTGTCCAGGCCTGTTTCATGAATAGTTTTTTTTTTTTTTTTTATCTTTCTGTTAAACAGCAGTTTCTGACTTTCATTTGTTTGTTTTAATCCAGCAATTAATCTTCTACCACTTAACCCGTCACGGTCAGGTGGCTTGTGCTTCTTTCCAGTAGTCTATGGGCAAACGACTTGCTACTAACTGGAGAAGTTGTCATTCTGTTGCAGGTTAATTTTCACCAAATTTAATTTATTATTGCTTATGTTTTAAGTTTTTTTTTGTGTTACTATTGTTGTTTTTTCTTTTAATAAATGAGTGGAATCAACTATTTTGTCCTTGTGTGTATGTGTTGTAGCAGCACGCATTAACTGCACAGATGGCTTAGAAACAAATTCAGCTTTTTTTTTTATTTTATTCTTGCACATTTTGTGCATCCTGAGTTTTTCAAACTCTTTACTTATACTGAACATAAACAGAAAGTAATACATAACTCTAAGTAATTTCCCTCTGGGATTATTAAAGTATGTCTGATTCTGTCTGTCTGTCTGATTCTAAGAGCTCTTCCCACATTAACGACTTAGGAATGAAAGATAATTTAATGTTAGTAATGACCTGGTAGTGCTTAGGTATGATGCATTTACTGATCAAAAAATATAAGATCTTTAAGGTTTGGACGAACTGGTCACTAATATGAGATGATTAAGCTGAAATCTGAAAGATTCTTGTCATCAAAATGTTTCTCATTGCATGTCTGCATGTGTCTCATATGGTATGTGAAAAGGAATTGTTTAAAATTTTAGTTTATACCTCAGAAAAATCAATTCCTGTAGTGCTTGACCTTATTAGCAAATTTGGAAAAATATCAGGTTATGAAATTAAGCTATCAAAATCCAATGCCTGTCTACTTAACTCAGATATTTCAACTGAACTTAAAATAATTTCTCCCTTCACCTAGGCACAAGGTGGATTTAAGTACTTGGGAGTAAATGTCTCTCCTAACCTAAAGAACTTATTTCAAATAAACTACACCCCCCAACTTAACAAAATTAAAGAGGAATTGGAGTTTTGGACCCTGCTACCCATCTCTTTTATTGGCGAATAAATGTCATTAAAATGAGTGTATTGCCAAGATTCAATTATATTTTTCAGTCCTTACCATGTTACCTGAATAAACCATTCTTTCAGTCAACCAATAAAATAATACATTATTTTATATGGAAAAAACCACACCCAGGATCTCCGTAAAAACCCTGAGAAAATCAAAAGAAAAGGGCAGACTGGGTCTTCCAGATTTTCTGTTGTATTACTGGGCTGCACAGACTAAGGACATAATTAGTTGGATACAGAACCGGACAACAGCTCATTGGACAGAAATTGAGGGGGAACCCACCTCTATCACCACTCTGCCATTCATCAACAACACAAAAGCTATAAAATCAATATCTTGAACATATGTAATAGCAAACAACCCTCAGGCTTGGCAAAATGTAAAGAGATTCTGTGGATCACATACCATCATTTCCAATGGCTCCTCTATCCTCTAACCCAGATTTGCCGCCACTAATGGGGAATCTTTTTACTAAATGGAAAGAACATGGCATACATCAGTTCCAGAATTAATTTAAAGAGGAAGGCCCTCTAAAATCTTTTCTAGACCTCAGATCAGAATTTGACATCCCAAACCTAGACTTCTATAAATATCTACAGCTTTGCCATTATATAACCACTTTGGAAAAGTCAGGGCAAATGTCCTTTACTTTATCAACAATTGAGGAAATTATGGTAAACTCTACAAAGATGAAAGGGAAGACTATATATGGAGTATTACTAGAATATAATATCTCCTCCTTAATGTCACTAAGAACTGTATGGCAGAAAGATCTAGAACAAGATCTTGATGATGAGCTTTGGACCGAAATGTGTGATAATGTTTTTGTTTCCTTATCTTGTAACAAAATCATCGAGCAAAATTACAAATTCATGCATAAAATTTACCTAACACCAGTCCGTCTTAGCAAAATGTATTCTACTGCGTCTTCTAAATGTCATCGCTGTAAAATGTGTACTGGTTCTCTTATCCATGCAAGAAACTCAAACATTTCTGGAATGCAGTACATAGTCTTACAATGAAACTCTTGCAAATTCAATTCAAACTCTCACCTCTATTGTATCTCTTTGGTACAGATTCAGATAATACTCTAGACCCGATCTCCAATAAAAGGATTGGTATAATTGCTTATGTAGCTAAAAAATTTATAATGCTCAACTAAAATCAAGCTACAGCACCTACAATTAATGTATTTAAAACAGTAATGACACCATGCAACTGGAGCACTATACTTACCACTTGAAAGGTAAAGAAAGGAGATCTTTTTGCTCAAACATTGGGACCCTTGATCATCACCTGACTTCTTCTATGTGATAGCCCATCGTGACCTAACACATGACTTGTTATCGTGCCTACCTGTCCTTTTTTTATGATAACATTGATAACAATAATATACTTGAATTATTTTATTGTATTTATGTTTATTATTTTTCAATATTTTGTTTAACTATTTTTTTGTAATATTAAGTTTCTATACACCCTTAATATTTGTAATTATTTTTTTTTTCCCCTCTCAGCTTACATGTGTTCAGAATGTTGTGTTTGTGTAAAAAAAAATGAAAATCCAATAAATAAACAATTGAAAAAAAATAAAAATTTGGGGTAAATTACTTTTTTCTGATACCATTTTAAAAGTATAAACTTACTTTTCTCAACAATGTTTTTTTTTATAGAACAGGATTTCTTTCTCCTATTTTCTTATGTTTGTCTCTGTCCTTTTTCTTGCACTGAAACTAAAATTGAGCTTCAACTGGAGCACTCCTGTCTTCTGCTTAGCCTCAGGCAGTCTCCTTTATTTAGCATAATGGACACATTTTCCACTGTTGGATGGCTTGACCCTAGTGTTTTAATAAAAAAGGTAAAATGTGGCTTTCTAGAATTGTATCATTCAATATTACAGCTGTTTTCCTTTTAAAAAAGCGTTTTGCCAGAGCATGGACAGTGGGCATTACTCAGTACTTAAAACCTTTATGTATCTAGAAGTGAATTTGACACATCCCTAATGGGATGTGTCTTCTAAATGAGGTGGTGTTCATATTAAGCAAAGTAGTGTGGATATAAAATTAAATAATTGCTTCTGGGTAAAAAATATGTACAGAATCTTTCTTTGTTAAGCCTTTCTTTAATGTAACTTTTCCCTCCTAGATGACTCAGGAGATGAGGAGCCCACAACACAGTCGGACCGCAGTGAAATTCAGGGTACCCTGAGGATACTTGTCAGCAAGCTTGATGACCTCAGCACTTGTAATGACCTAATCGCTAAGCATGGAGCTGCCCTGCAGCGTTCCCTCAGTGAACTGGAAGGATTGAAAGTCCCATTGGAAGGAGGGGAAAAGATCAAGGCAGTTAACGAGCGAGCCACCCTTTTCCGCATCACTTCCAATGCTATGACAAATGTAAGTACTCCTGACACTACCATTAAAAGATGCGCCAGCAGTATGTCTTCAGTGGTCTGTGTCCTGCATGCTGCAGAATGATCATGGGGACAGGAATACCAGTCATCTATGATGTCCTGGACAGTAAACTATGAGAGATTAGATGGTCACACAGAGCCAACCTGCTGCCTACATGTTTAGACTGGCATGTTTACAACCTATCAGATCACATTTAAGCTGCCAAAACACAACCACATCTATCGCCATCTAATTTAACTGCTTGACTTAAATTCTATTGACTCTTTTTTCAAGATACACAAAACGACCAGTTTGTTTAGGGTTTCATAGGTCTTATTATGTAGTAGTTGTGCTAATGGTGAATGAGAATTCAGGTAGGGGGTTGAGATCCCAAAGGAGCACCACTAAATATGATATTCAGTAAGGATGACAAAAATAGCTCTGGCCCCCTACGTTTCTAAAATTCTCGACAGCAGCTCGTAGAGAAATCTCAGCACACGTTGGGCTGAACAGACTGAACTGAGTGAAGGCAAGAAAGAATACAAGGTCTGTTTTTTTCTACTTTTTTATGAGAGTTTGATTTTAGGATCTTAGTAATAGCTGTTGTGTTGATCTTGAATGTTTTTCTCTATTGGTCAGATGTATTGCACCTTTTTCTATACAGTGCGCAAATTCTGAGCTGCCGTAGATGCATATTAAGTTTGCAGTAGTATCTTGAGTTAATTTATGATCATTTGAAGTCTTTTTTTTATTATTCTTTACATACAGTACCTCGCAAGATTTGTCAAAAAAAGCTATGTTCAAGTTTAAAGAATAGCAAATAATTAAAAAGTGCTTTTTACTAACCAATATAGACAATCAATAATAACTTTTATCCTGGTACCTTTTAAATAAAATCCAATACAAGCAACAGCTTTAGAAATTCACCTATTTAGTAAAATAGAGACCACCTCTGTGTTACTTGGTATGGATATAATGTTCAGGTGAAATGGGAACAACATTCAAAATCCTCTTTCTTTCAAAAAGCTCTGTGGTTAAATGAAAAATACAAACAAAAAATAATCAAACAATACATGTCCCCCTTCATATGCTTTCACTGGGGTAAAACATGGGGTTGGTGGCGTCATGCTCTGGCGTGCTTTTCCTTTTATAACGAATAACCTGCAAGTTAGGCACTCTCTCTCTCTCTCTAGGAAATAGAAAAAATTGTTGAAGGCTTTTGCGATTTGAGCAGTGCGTTGCCTTTCAGCAAGACAAGTCAGAACAGGCCAGGCAGTTAAATACTTCCCTCTTTAAATGCACACAGGTGTTGGACTGTTAATATTTTGAATTGTAATAAAGTTGCATTTGACAATTATGCCCTCTTTTGCTTTGCCTGTCAAATAAAATCTCTGTAAAATACAGTGGTTATGTGGTTGTAATGGGAGAATTTCACCGCTGCAAGCTATAACAACTTGAAGAAAAAAAAATATCTTCAAGCAGTGTAGAAATGGTATTCGTTCCAGTATTTTTACATTAACATCAAATGCTAGAACATCTTAACATAAAACAGTTTTCCTTCTTACAAATGTGTAAACCCCCCCCCCACCCCCTCAAATTGTTGGTGAGCTGTGTGTTAAGTCAATTAATTGATTCGTGTGTTAAACACAGAATGTCCGTATAGAACAGCTCCTTTGATCCCAAGGACATTCTGATTGGAGAAGCAGAAAATAGCAACTAGCAGAGTATTATGTTCTAAAGTGCTTCTTTCAAGAAATGTGCACATAAGTTATGACAAGATAATAGTTGAGCCATGATAGATTGGAGATTCAAACTATTAGATTACATGCTTCCAATACAGTGATTTGTTGCGGATATCACCTTTTTTATCTTTTAAGAATATTAAATGGAAACAAAAGATGGTTTTATGGACAAATATTAGATCAGGTACATTTTTTAAAATTAATGTTAAATCTTCAGTAAACCTCACACAGAAAATCTAGTATAAATTAAACTGATATGGGTGTGTTAATAAAAAATAAAGCGATACAAACTGACTGAATTGCTGTTAACTGGCTCCTGCTCTTGTATTGTCACTGCTCCAAGTGTCTCACTGTCTTTGATGGGTTTGATTATTGTATTTACATATACATATACTGTATGTCTTATCATACAGTGGTTATTTTAAGTGATAGTTGAAGTAAAATGCGAGAGCAGGGTTATACAATTATAACCAGGCTTGAATTTTTATTAGAAAAGAAAAATGAATCAATCATAAAGATAGTCCTCTTGTTCAGTTAGTAACTGCTTTTTGTTTTGTTTTTTTCAAACTAACAACGTACCATCTTCAGTTTCTCTCCAGCCGGGGGAGGTTTTAATTTAGTTCATTCAACCTTGACCTAACTTCTCATATGTGCCATGTGTGGCTCTAGTGACAGATTGTCCACTTGGTACATTGTATGGATGTCAGCACATGCCTGTTTGGGGTTACCTTAGTTTATAACGTGAAAGGTTAACTTAGTTTGTTTTATGCACGTTCCATCTACTTATATGGTTTCAGTGCAAAACAAAACTAATCTTTGGGTGCTCTATGTTCAAAAGAAAGATGTTTGATCAATTTAACAGAACAGTTTCAGTTCTTTCTTTGCCAAATAATTTGATTAGATTTAAATGGGACATTAGTTCTGACACTTTTTATTATTATTATTGGTAACTTTTAATTATTTCCCTTATACTGTTATGCCCTGCTGAGCCTCTATTCTTCAACGCACCACAAGTCACATGCAGTCTGTGATCGTACCGTGGAGTCAGCAGTAAAAAGTGGAACTCTCACACGTCTTAAAGTGTGATTCAGGTTTCATATTATGGTTTGGTTTGAGGAAGTGGATTTAGACGTCACATAGTTCGAACACTTATAGTGAAACTCGACTCTTTAAGCAGGGGATTCGTGACTGCTGGAGGTAAGAGACTCATTATTTCCCTAACAACACCACAAAACTTATATTATCTGTCTTGGTTTTAACTGAATATATCAAATGACTCTTATTTAGTATTTTTTTATTTTTTATTTTTTTTTACAAATTTAAGCAACAATATCAGAGCCTTATATACTCAAAGGCTACATCATTACAGTCTTAATTCAAAATTAAGTGTTAATGTAGCGAGGGTATAATCATGCATCAGTAAACTAATTAAACATTAAAATCAAATATAGAGAAAATTGTTTTACTGTATACCTACTGTAATGTAGTGTTACCGACTAACTTTGATTTTATGTATAGCCTTTTTTTGCTTTAAAGTTTTTCTGTTTTGTTTTTGCTTACACTAAATTACAACATAACTAGACAGATTACAAATGTATTTCAAACCTGTTCTTTTATACCAAGTTGATTCAAAAGTTTCACTATAAGATTAAAATAAAAAGCATATATATGCTGATTCCTGCATACAGTTCCACTTTTTTCCATATCCTTAATGTTGAGGCATCGCTATGTTCTTTCATTTTTTTATTGTTGCAGGTACTCATTTATCCATGCGGTTAAGCTTAAACTCTAACGATTTCTCAGGTTCTGCAATGAAAATAAAATGTTTCTGGTTTTGACCATAAGCCAAATGCAACCATGTGATTTGTCATTCACCCTAGTAGACAAGTTTTACCATTCAGCACATAAAGGCAGAGGTATAATGCAAGGCAGCAGTTTTAGATGTTATTTCACACCTCTGTCCTGAATTGGAAACCTCAGTGACCATCACGTGATACACGTCATAGTATGAGGTCGAAGGAGATATTTTATTCAGGTTCAATGACCTTTTAGATTAATATGAGGAAGGCTGCTAAAAACTCAACACGGTGGTGAGCCAACAATTGCTGACATGTAATAAATATCTGATCTGAAGTAACCCTTTCTCAGAAGTGAAATCAGAGCAGCAACAATGCCCTCTTTTGGCTCACTTAATCAAGACAAGGGACTCTGTTTTGTAGTGAAAGGCTTTAACTGCTCCTCATTAGCATGCTGTTTGTGAGGAGGTACATTAAACACAGCGAGGAGAGTCTGTAAGTGGCCTGTCTACATCTAATCATTGATAACTGTCCCACCCAGTGTTGATGATAACTGTCCCACCCAGTGTTGATAAGGAGCTGAGGTCTCAGTGAGTGTCTGCAAGGTTGTTTCACTTTCCATTCTGACTGGTTTATTGAGGTTTAAAGGTCAGTTTTATATTTCAGATATTTATTTTTTGTTGCTTTTAACCCTCAATCTGTATCCTGCACACTAAGGATGTGTTCACATCAGAGGTTTTGGTAATATATTATAGCCATGTGACCATAGTGTTTGCAGGAGAAATATTCATTTGTGTTCATTTTTTTCATAAGGCATGTCGAGACTTTTTGGACCTAGCTGAGACTCACAGCAGGAGATTGCATCGGGCGCTACAGTATGAGCGAGAGCAGCGTACCCACCTAGAGGAGACGATCGAACAGCTCGCAAAACAGCACAACAGCCTTGAGCGAGCGTGGAGAGAAGCACCCACGCATGCTTCCAGCACACCCAGTGTCCCAACCACCAGTCAGGGTGAGACTAGATGCCTGTTTTTCGCTCACATGAGCTTTAGAAAGTGGCTGAAAGTCATGTGTAGCCTGAAGCCTTATATTACAGAGCATCCTGATGTGTAGGAATGGAAGTTTTAGTTGTCTCAGATGGTCTCAAATTATCTCCACCTTCTTTTTTCCCCCCAAAAGAACAAATTAGCTTTTTAAAAACCTCCTAATAATCCTGTAAACTCACATTTTCTTGTTTCAGATTCTTTGTCATCTTTATAAGTAAAACAGTATGGGTTTGAGTTCACATGTGGTTGTCAAAAATAAACTATGCACTTAAATTTGACTAAGTGAGTTTTAGATTTGTTAGTTAAGAATAAAGGAAACAGTTTTATGGTAAAATGCTGAATTTTTTTATTTCAGTTGTTTTTATACACTTACTGTAAAACTGAGTCAGCCTATCTAGGATCAGTGCCACATAAGCTGCAATAAGCTGCACTTATCTTTGAATATCACCTAAATTTTGTAATATTTTCTACTAACTTCCATTACCCCAGTTTAAATGACTGGTCCAAGAATCTAGGATATTTATTGCTATTTTCAAACCATAGTGAACTTTTGCCTAGATCCCCATTTTAGAAGGCACACATAATGCCCTTAGAAAAATCTTAAACACTTGTAGAAAATAAAAAACCCCTTTGAAAGAAAAATATGGGCATGAAAATATAGTAAAATGTGTAAATGAAGGGTATCTAGTGCCATATGATTCATAAAATTAGAGATCGACTGATTCAGGGTTTTTTTAAGGCTGATGCCGATATATATTTAGAATATTTTGTAAATATATTTTGCCATCAGTCTAACTGATCCTTAATATATTTGGGGCTATTGTTTTGGTGCCGATATTGCTTTTTTTCTCCATTTAAATAATAAAAATCACACAATGATAACAAATGTTACGATTGCAACAAAAAGAAAAAATATCAACAAATCATACACAACATATTAACAATAAGTAGCAAATGGAGGTAGTTGCAATACATGCACCTTACACAATTTAAAAAGATTGCTGCTGAATACACAGATGAATCTGCAAATTCATGCAGGTATCGGCTGATACAGATAAAAGATAAACACAATTATCTGTCTATCTCTTCACAAATGCATTTGGACAGACTTTGGGTTTGATGCTGAACATGTTAAGCATACTTTCAGAAATGATGTCACTATGGCTAATGTTATGAAGCTTATAAAAACACTGATCTTTCTTGAATTTCACCTTTTAGGCTGAATTTTACTGTCTTTACCTGATGTTTGCAAGTCTGAATGATATAACTTGACTGCAGGAAACCAAAGGGTGAACAAAGAGGACGCAAGTGATGAAGATGAGGATACTGAGTACTTTGATGCCATGGAGGATGCACCTACTTTTATAACAGTGACTGCCAGTGAAAGCTCACAGCACAGGTAAGATTCAATGGCCCATTTTAAAATTCAAGTAAAAAAGTATTCATGTGCAGAACCTAGAAAATTAAATCTGGCTTAGAGTTTTTTTTGTAAAAAATCAGGGTTTTGAGATTTATATACATTTTTTATTTTAGCTTCATCGCTATTCAACAAATATTTGTAGAACCTCATAAAGAAAATGTTACTTATATGCTTAAAACCATATATTTGACTCTTTTTTAATTATAAAGTCTTTATGTAAATACAAATATTGTATAAAATCAACATTTTTTGTCTTAAACTGTGACTTCAATGTGCTAAATCTATAAGTTGGATATTTTAAACTGCTAAACCGATTTGAGGTTATCATTTTTTTTTTCCCGATAATCTGGGAGATTATCCTGCCATTTTTAAGAGGGATCAGATCTGCTTTGTAGAAAGTTGGGAACCCTCTGATCATAAATTAGGAAAATCCAGTATTTTGAATTTTCTATATGCAATATCCTACTGTGTATGATGTCCTGGTTCTTAAGCTCATGAGGATAAAATATTTTTTTATTTTCCACCATTGATTGCTTAAATTGCCTACCTAGGATATACAGTTTTATGCCCAGTGGGTAACAAGGTGGCTAATAGCTTTTTGTCAAAGTAAAAATCTTTGTCAAAGAGCCCAGAACATACCAATAGAACATCTCATTCTAACTGTTATGGCACAAATGTAGTTTTCTGTTGTCCAGGTTCACTATTAAAAGTGAATATAGCTGATAGAGAACTCAGTTCCTATTCACTCATTTAATTTAATTCTCTGTGCACTGTGTACAGGAATTTTTCAGGGATTTTATTTACTTGCTTGTTTACTCAAGCAGAAAATGTTCTTATTTTATTCCAGGCGATCTCAGGGTAATTTAAGTGGAGCGAGCGGAGGCCAGACCAGTGACTGGAACCAGGACGACCATGTAAGTTTCCATCTTCCTAACAAGAATGAGTAATAAGTCTGACATTTGAAAATGCTGCTGACTCTTGTATTCTCAGTATAGATCCATGTGTGGCTCTGCCGGGCTGACACTTCATTGATTTACTTGTGTAACATTTATATTGGCTGGTCTCACAGATATAGTACAGTCTTTCACACACACAAAAACCCACGCACACAACACGTACACACATGAACTGTTATTACAGTTTTTCCTGCCACCATGTCATCACCCCAATGGTGCCACAGATGTATGGTTGGATCATTGCATTAAATTTTAATAGGTCAGAGATTTGTTTTTCCTTGTGTTTTATATGTTGTCATTATGTGTCACAGTTTACTGATGTTTTGAAAGCCTGATGAAACTTTTGCTCAAATTTGTGGATCCTCTTTTCTTTGTTAACTATATCCCAGATGTCTCCGAGCTATAACGATGTGTCAGGGAAGGAGCTACTGCCGCGCAGACAGAGGCGGACTCATATCCCAGACAAGCCCAATTATTCCCTAAATTTATGGAGCATCATGAAGAACTGCATCGGCAAGGAGCTCTCTAAAATCCCTATGCCTGTAAGTCTGAAACCTGGCACACATCTTCACTCCACCGTATTTTCTATTATATTTTCAACATAGAACCACAAACTTTAATGGATTTTATTGGAATTAAGGGTAATAGAATGAAATAGAATAGAGTGCAAATGTAAAGAAACAGAAAAAAAATTTAGACAAATTTAGTGACCTTTTTCTGTGTTTTTGAGACTTTGGAAGAAATGGTGAACAAGTTTGTCTTCAGTGAGGAGCAAGTTGCTGTGAGGCCCTCCGCTTCCCAAGCACTGAGAGATGGCCAGGTTCAGCAGCCTGGTTGTGCAGCAAACTGCCTGCAGTCAGCAGAGAAGAAACCCTGAAAATGAGTCACACATCAGTAAAGTGTCTAATGACTCCACCCTAGATTACAACAAGGGCTGTAAATATAACTTTTGGTTAAATATTTTTGTTTCCTTCCTTTTCCCTGAAACTGTTATACTAAATGGATCCCTTACTTAAATTTATTTACACACATTTATTCACCTCATCTATTGGTGTGCCTCCACTACCCTTTCGTTAAATTTGATAATATAACATTGTATTATTAAATTTCTTTCTATCTGGACAGTGTTGATTTCTTTCTCTTTCCAACTACCTGGATATAAATAAGATCAAATATGCAAATAATCTGTAAATATGACCATACAACTTACAAGATATAGTGTTTTTAATTGTATATATAAACAAGTAATTTAGCTTTACTTAAAATATTTTTGGATTTTGTACTTTCAACATTTTGTGGGATTTTGTTTGAAATCTTTTTGTTTGAAATCCTTCAAAAATATGTTTTATGTTTTGTGTTGTTTCAGTGCTCATTATTGTTTTACTCATTTTCATAAATAAAAAAGTGTTAAATGAAATAGTGGATCAATAAGGAGTATCGTTAAGACTAGTTAAGTTTTTAATAATACCCATCCCTAATCCAGTCTGACTGAGCTTAAATTGCTTTGAAAAGAAGAACTAAACGAATGAATGAATGAATGAATGAATGAATGAATGAATGAATGAATGAATGAATGAATGAATGAATGAATTCCTTTTTTATTTTTGGTTTAGAAACAAAATTATTGTCACATTTTAAAAAAGTATTTATCCAAACAACAGAAAAAAGAAAAGCCCCAAGGCTTATTTTTCCCTTCCCTATACTATATATATATATATAAAAAAAAAAAAAAAAAAAAACTTTCACGGTTGCTAAGCAACAGAGCTTACGGCGGTAAAACCCGCCGAAGAGTAGACCTGGTCGAATTCACAGCCAAAACTCTTCCGGTCTCCTTATTTTCAAGGACTTCGAAGGATCCAGTCTAGGTAGACCGCGTCCTTGGAGGATGCAGCCCAGGTTTTCGAACAGAGCCTCAGTCTCCTTTCAAAGCCCTCTCTCTTTAGTTCCCCTTTGCTGGACCCAAGTCCTTATTAAATCCACAAGAGATTCACCTCTGCCTCCCTGCCTCTGCTTTTGGGTCAATTAACCATAGCCAAATCATGACACTACATGCCTGTCAATGTGTTTGGTTGAGTGTTAATACGTTGTATTTGGTACTGTTGACTAGAAAAGTGTCTGTTGCATGTCTTCATAGCAGCTCAAATGTTTGTGTGTATTAATACTCACAAAGAAACGCTATCATTAATGAACATCCTGAGTTCGGCCTGGGCAGATGGCTGCTCACACTAAGTCTGGATCTGCTGGTGGTTTCTTCCTGTTAAAAGGGCGTTTTCCTCTCCAATTTTGCTACAAGCATGTTTGATGTGACCGATTGCTGTACACTCAATGAGTCGATACAAACAGCTGGTTTTCCTTAGACAATGTGATCTGGTTGAATTGTCTGTAAAGTGCCTTGAGATGATGTCTTGTGAATTAGGGCCACATAAATAATTTGAGTTGAGTTTTTGTTGCATATGCAGTTTGTTTGGCAGAAGACATAGGTTTAAATTCTGTGGATGTCAGCTGACTGTCGTCAGTACACTTGGATAAGGCTGGACTTTGTGATGATGTTTGTTCTCCAATGATCCCTTATAACTATACTAAGGCTAGTTACAAGACTGCAAAACCTTGTCATTGATTATTTGACTTCTGAAGACTATCAGAGTAAAGGGTTTAAAAAATAATGCATTGTAATTTTTTAAGATAAAAAAAGCCCATGTATATCATTGGTAATTGACATCTTTGTATTTAAAATAAAATCCGGTGAAATAAGCTGAGGTTTGTAGTCGTGCTGTGACATATGATTAATGTCAGACGATATTAACTATTGAGCACAGCTCTGTACAGACTACTTTTGCATTCTCCTCCAATCCAACACAAACATCAATTAGCATAAACCAATTCTTCCTCCCCTATCTGCATAATACTCCGCTTTGCTGAGATTCCATCCACATTAACATGAATCCTCATATGCATATTATAGTGACAGGTTGGTTGCACAGCGACTTAAGAAAGAGTGACTGAAGAAAAACACCCAGAAGACAAGCTTTGATTTGGACTTCATAATCAAAATGGTTTGCATGGAGCTGGCCTGTCTGATCGAGGACCAGAGGAAATAAGTGTTGGCATCATATATGAAGCAAAGTTATCAAACATTACCTTAGAAGAGTGAACAGTTGTAGCTGATGCCCAGCTAATTTTGGAGATGATTTAGAGCACAATACCAATGATAAGAGAGTTTTGTACGTTTCATTTTTTGGGTTTGGATGAAATCTGATGGTTTGATGATGTAATCAATGATATACCACATGTAAAGGTATCACATTGGGTTCATTTTGGAACTATTTGTGGACGCCACATTACTGAAATAAAAACTCAAAATCTTTAGTGTTATACAAACAAAAGCTTCATGCAAATTCCTACATATCCATACGCAGTGTGCATGAAACTCACTATGTGCTGAATATTTTGAATATCCAGGGCTTTTGCTGTAAAGATAAAGAAGCAACAGGGAAAAAAAGAGCTGAAATCCTCACAGGACATTGTTTGGACTACCTACTCGTTTTTTTTTTTTGTTTTTTTTCTTAGTTTTTCTATATTTTCCACAGGAAACTACAATGTGCAAAAATATTTAACAATGAACACCAGAAGCATTGGTTGGGCTCTGGCTGTATCATATATACCTTGTGGAAAAAAAGAACAAAAACCAAAATTAAGGAATATTTTCATTGCTTTTTTTTCTGTGATTTTTTTTTATTAATTGTTTATATTTAAATAGTTATTCAATTAAAACAGTCACACATATGCTCACATATGTTCAAAAGCTAACGCAGGGCTTAGGCTGGAGATACTTATACCCTATACTATATAGAAATGGCAAACATTTCAGTCTCTAGATCTGTTAATCTGGTTATCACTTGTTAGCTGTAGCTGCAGTAAGATGATCCTGCAAAATATTGGGTTATACTGAGAAGAGCTTAATCAAAATGAAAGCCTTGCTTCAGATTTTTATTGTTAAATATATTACAATACCGGCCTTTTTGCCTTTTCACTTCAAGATGATACTTTGCTTTATATTGATTCTATCATATACATTTTTTTTATGAAAATACAAAATGTGATAAGGTTTAGCAGTGTTATACTTTTCTAATGCGTTTTATTTTTCATTTTTAACAAGGGGCTAAAATAAATGTAACGCATGTAAAATGTGATACATTTTACTAATTCTAATTCTCCATCAGGTAAACTTTAATGAGCCTCTGTCGATGCTGCAACGTCTCACTGAGGACCTGGAGTACCATGAGCTTCTAGACAAGGCAGCACGCTGTGAGTCTTCCCTGGAGCAGATGTGCCTAGTTGCTGCCTTTTCCGTTTCCTCCTACTCCACCACAGTCCACCGAACAGCCAAACCCTTCAACCCCCTCCTGGGAGAGACCTATGAGCTTGACCGCCTGGAGGAATTTGGCTACCGCTCATTGTGTGAGCAGGTACTAGTGTCTCCAAGGGCAGACTGTGTTTACACATTTCCCAAAGTGCTTATGCACATTTAAACCATAAACTGCTGTCAGATCCTTTTTATTAATTGCCTCCTCTCCTTGTGATTTTGTGTCTTTGTTTCTGCTCAGGTGAGCCACCACCCGCCTGCAGCTGCACATCATGTGATTTCCAAAAGAGGCTGGACCTTGTGGCAGGAAATCACCATCGCCAGCAAGTTCCGCGGCAAATACCTCTCCATTATGCCTCTGGGTAGGACATCCCTCTGCCTGAAGAGGCGTATTATTGTTTAAATTGAAAACATTAAAACTCAATGCTCTGTTCAAGAAAAAAATCGAATTGTACTTGGAGTTTATGAAAATGCAACATGATCCTAATTTTTCCTGGGTTAGTCTGTTTAAGGCCATTTTAACATGCTGTAGTGTAATATGTTCATTTAGCAGCTCCTTCCTGGTTCACTCTACTAAACTCATGAATCCGGCTTTATGATTTTAAAGCCTTTCCTTCACCTCAGTTGACACGCATGTGATTTGCAGACAGTGAAAACTGAAACACCAGAATCCTTCCTTTTATTGAACATTCCTAGAGAAATAACAGTAGACTGACATTGTGTGCTGGCGGGTCAATAAGTAGGACTTTTTTTTTTTGCAGCAAATATCTAATATTTAATATTTAATATTATCTAATATTTTCTTAGATTTGCAGCCATTGAAAATAGACTGAACAAAAAATAAACAGATGAGACCAAGATGGAGCTGGGTGGGAGGCCTGCATTTTAAAAACAAAAAAATCCTACCATTGAGATACTGTTTATAAATATACAAGATAGTGTCAGATCTCATTAGTACATATTTACCCCCATCCGTTCTTTCTCATCTGTGCTTCAAGCACTCTCTGTGATCTTTAGTATGTAGTGCACAGTCCTCAGGTGTGGAGTTCTACTGCAGAGAGGCTCATCCAACATGCAGAATATCTCATTGCAATCGAAAGTTTGATCTAAAGGAACCTAAAATATGTGAGCTAATGCTAATAATAATTGTACATTTCAGACATTCATTGCTTACACTGATATTGTGATGACATTATTTGTGGGATATAATCTGCATACCTTATTCTTTGCCATAATAGACAGCTCTATGTTTGGTGAAAACTAAACAGCATACTGACAGAAATAGCTATTACAAATTGGAAAGCACATTGATGGAGGGGTGATCATTTTGTCACTTAATGCAGCCTCAGAATTTTGGTACCTTTTCGTCGCTTATTGACTCAGGAACTCTGTTATGTATCGTTGTTCTCAAAGGTCTAATGCAAAGCTATATCTCTGACGATTCAGCCAGGGATCATTTAATTATAGTTAAAAAAATTGAAAGGCACATTTAAAGGAAAATGTTAGAACCAATAATCTTTTTGGGACATGGAACCATCTTTTCTTTTTTCTTGTCTTTTTTTTTTTTTTTTTTTTAAGAACCTCTTACATAACTTCAAGAATTTAAAGCAGCACTAGGCGATTTTGGAGTCCCTCCCTCTACAGAACTTTTTGGACCTTTTTGCGGGAAACTGTTATTTTTATTTAAGTCAAGTTTAGTTAATGAGTAAACCGTCTTTTTATTTGTACTCATAAGTTGATTCAATGTTCACATTTAAGTCACAAAGCAGATACGGTGCTTACAAGTCCAAGAAGAGGTCTGCATCAGTTTTGAGCATTTGTTTTTGTTCATCACAGTGTAAATCGCTCTTCTGCAGGCCCTGTCCCGATCCTATTCTCATTTTTATCTTTCTTTCCGTGTCTTTCTGTACCATTTTTTCTGTAGGCTCTGCCATATCATAAACCTCCAAAATTAACATAAAAACAGTTCTATAATCACCTCGGGGTAGCGAAGCATAGCTGTTGATGCAAATGGACTTTCATCGGGACACTATAAAGCTGTTTGTCTTACTGCAAATATAGGCCCAAGACTGCCACTGGGTCAGTGGTACAGAAACTTACAAGCTTGGTTTTCTGATCAAAGCCAGTAGGAGATGGCAGCCCACTCATTTGTCTCATAGAGACGACTAAGATCACCTAAAGCAGGGATGAGATATAAATATAAAAATGTTACTTAGTAGTGCTTTAATTTATTGGGCTTTAAATTGCGACATTGCTCTTTTAAATCTGGATGGTTTTATTTTTAAACTCTGTGGTTTCAAAGTAAAACAAATATAATGAATTCTATATTGCACTAGGATTTAAAGCAGGATTAGATGGATAAAACAAGATTAAGTGGATTTGATCCAGCAAGTTATGCGTATCTCTGGCATCTGGCAGTGATTCTAACAAACCGTAAATTGTATAGAAAAGAGTTTTGAATCACAAATCAAACCCTATAATCTCTCTTTCATTTTTAATGCCAGCAGGAAGCACAACAAAGCTGGTGAAATCATACCCTCCTGTAATATCATTGTGTTCTTTCTTTGTTCCCCAGGTGCCATTCACCTGCAGTTTCACTCCAGTGGGAACCACTATGTGTGGCGAAAGGTCACATCCACGGTGCATAACATCATTGTGGGCAAACTGTGGATTGACCAGGTCTGTTATTGAGCGCTTTTCTTTTCAACTATTCTTTCTCTGCATTACTGCTGTGACCTTCAAACCAACCCTGCAGGATTATTTTCCTTTTTTGGGGGGGATAAATGTTTGCAGCACAGATCAGCACCATAGCAAACTCTAACACGGAGTAGATCTTTATTAACACATTTACAATACATGCATCAGATATAACTTTGGTCAAATTATTTTGCTTTCCCTGATTTCCTTTTTTAATTTTATTTTTTAACATCTATCCGGCTGACAGAATTATTATAAAGACCTGAATATCTTAGAAATATGTGCTTTTGTGTTCCTACTCTTATGACTCTGCTGCCCTCTGCTGCTTAAAAACGTGTCTTTGGCTTGCCAGACAGGCAGTAATAAAATACAAAGTACAAACTGCTGTCAAATAAACAAAAAATGGGACACTGATATGGCATTGATAAGGAGTATCAGTTAGTTAATCCAGCCGTTGGAAGCTGATCTGGGCTGTTGGGCCATATCAGACTTCTCATTAATTCCTTCCACAGTTTTCCCAGGAAGTCACTTTTTTCCAACCTATGGCCTCTTGTCTCTCTAAACTCCGGAAAACTTTTCTAAGGAAGCATCTTTGATGCTCTTATGTGACAGAAGCTTAAATAATCTGAAGTTATAATGCATGGAAGTGTTGTTTCTGCTCTGAGCAATATGTTTATTATGCTGCTTTATTCACACTATTTCTACTAGTTTTCTACAGTCGGTATATGATTATATGATTGCAGATCAACAGCAAATGAACCTTTTACCAGTCACTCTTCCTCCATTACTCCATCTGAGGCGGGAACATGTTTTAACGACACAGAGGTCCTTACTACATTCATACAGAACCTCAAAGTGCTGGTTATACAGATTTCTTTGTTTTATCCTAGAATCATGCATCTATCGACCAAACATACTTTTGCATACTGATTCTCTTCTATAATGAAGGTATATGAATCAGAGATGCAAATTTTAGGATGTAGTTTTTCACTCTGCGCTAGAAATCTCCATGCAACAACAGAGAAGTCAGCTTTAAACAACACCAACAGATTACATCCCTCAATATATGTTTGGAGAAAAAAATGTTTTTCTTTATACATTTTTCCATTAAGTTGCACCCCAAAATAGTTTTAAATGAATTACAAATGACAGAGTTCATGTCTGTCCATTGGGTAAAAATACCAGGTCTCTTGTTTGAGCCAGATGAATGGGCTGTTTCACTATGTTATAAAGAATTATCTGTTCATTTGTAGTGAATATTTAAGTTGGGATGATGCATCAGACCTGAACTGAATTTATTGCACAAAATTTCTTAATTTCTGAATGTGGTTTAAGAATTAGAAAATTTTTATTCTGTTTCTAAACACAGTTTTTATTTTATTTTTTTTTATTTTTCTGTTTGAGTCAAGATTGAAATCCCCAGTATACAGATTTATTACTGCGATGAATTATTGTGCACCAGTTACAGACTTTTTTTATTTGTGAAATATATTTAAAAGTACAATTATTTAGTCTGAAATTAAAGCTGAAATAATTTCTCTTTCTCATTCTTATCAATCCAAAAGTGTGAAAACTAGTTTTGGCACTATAAATACTTTGCCAACCCCTGCAAAACCTTCTAAAAAAGGTTTTTGACAGACTTTGTAAAAATGGTCAGTAAGCCAATTTAAGTTCAGCAAGCTTTTATAGGGCAGAGTTTAATTGGTCCAAAGCAGAATGGGAATCTGCTGACGTATACATGCTAAACCATACTCTAGGATGCAGTTGAGCAGTTCTGTAAGCCTACACAGTAATACGGTCTGGCTGAATCTTGCATAATGAGCTCACAGATAATAAAACAGCTAATAAAACAGGGTTTATTGTAACACTTGAAACATTTTTTATTATTTGTTGGGATAAGAAAGGAAAAGTGACTACAGAAAAGTGTTAGAATTTCCTAACTTTTTTGTGTTCTTGTCTTAAAGATCAAATTCAGATTTAAGTAAAAGTATTAAATGTATTTGGTCTTTAATCTTTCTTTTTTACTAAGTTTTTTCTCTACTTCATTAGTTTTGTCTACTCTTATTGATTGTTTTGGTGCTTGAGCAACTTATAGAAGCCAGAGATAAAACCCTAACTACGGTAACTCTAAAATGGAAAGTGTTTTTTTTTTAGGCTCATGAATCCATAGTAATGTATTCAGAATTGATTTGGCAATCTTCCACTGGTTCGGATTTATGTACCTAGAAACACACTGACAGATGTAAAAAAATTTTTTTTTATTTATTACGTACGTCTTTTTGAATAGTACTAATTAAATTTTCCCAAATACCAGAAAGAAATTATCACAATAGTGCAGAATCCCAAACAGAATTGAGCATGAAGGTGTGTAGTTTTTAAAACAACAGCTAAACTAATATAGGTAGATTTTTTTTCTTTTCGTGAATGCCCACAATCTTAGACTTTGAGAAGTTTTATTATCATTTTGTATACACTATGTACATTCAAGTGCAGCAGTGTTAAAATGGTCAAGAATGGCTGAATGTATGAGTGTGATCATAGCTCCAGCAAGTGTAGATGCAGGATCAGCACCTACTTAGGGGGGCAGTGCTTATCCATTAGGCCACTGGGTCCTTGAATGACTTGAACACATGTTTTCTTTCAAGTTGCAGTTTTTCTATTAATACTTTATACGATTTACTGTTGTTTTAGATCTGATCAGATTTGATCAGCCTATTGATAAAAATATATTTGTAGGAGGATGGCGTGAAAACAGATTAGGCATTAGTAATCTGAATCTAATGCCCGCAAAGTTGTCAGAAATTAACCATCACACTCTCTACCTTGCATTTTAATGAATTATAAAGATCAAACTACTGAAGTGAACTAATGCCCCAGCTTTTGTTCCTTTATCTTTAAAACTTTTATATTTCCATTTTTTTTTCCAGTTTTTTTACTTACAAAGTTTAGCTGATGTTCTTTTCCATCTTCCTACTCTGCAGTTAACAACTAAAATTATTTTTATTCTCTTGCTACACTATGCAGATGCCCTGTCTGCATTGATGAAGATTCACTCCCTTCAGCATGCCAAATGCTTAAAGACCCCAACTTACATCAGTCTGACCTTTGTGTTTAAAAGCTGCTAAATATGAACACCTTAGTGCACTTTTAGACTGTGTGTAGAGACTTTAATTTTCAGATTGTCAACAAAATAATAATAATGATCATAATGATGATGATGAGAGTGAGATCATAGTAATATTTACATTCCTTATGCTTATGCAGTACAACATTTTAACAACCTTTGTCTAAATACACACGCATTATAAACCAAGGGCCAATATATACAGATTCCTGATAGATGCAACAGGGCTTGATGTTTCATGTAATTTAATTTTTTTTTCTCTCACATTTAGATCCATATAGGGCATATTTTCACAGAAGCCAACAAACACGCCTAGATGAGAAGCAAAGTGGCAGCAGCTTCACAAGCAGCACATCCTGCATAGCCAGCATTGCTGATCAGTTTTAATCAACTGAATGTTGATTAAAAGCACATTAGGAGAGGGTGTGCCTTTAGCATTAAGCTAATTAATTAAAAATGATTTAAGGAGTTTTAGAGGACTCTGTAACTCAGCAGACATAGGTGCATCATGATCCAGCTCATCTATAAGCTGGTGATTAACATGAAAGAAAAAATAAATAGATTTGTGTTGTCATGTAGTTTGTTTCCCTCCCTTATAATGTTCTGTATGTTTTTGCTCAGTCAGGAGACATCGAGGTCATTAATAACAGGACGAAGGAGACCTGCCAGCTGAAGTTCTCTCCTTACAGTTATTTCTCCAGGGATGTTCCACGGAAGGTAAATCACTTGGGGGTTCATTTGTACAATGCTGCCTCCTGCTGGAATTTGTCAGTAAATGTCTTATAAAGCCTTTTCACATTTTTTTGAAATACCAACCATAAATCTATTTAATTTGTATTTTATGGAATGGATCAACACGAATATAAAAAGCAAAATTATAAAGAAACTAATTTGTAAATGCCTCAAACGTTCTTTATCAGATGGATCAGAGATTTGGTCATAAAACATCTGCAAACTGAAATTACAGCACATTGCTGTAAACTGACAGGCCAGGCAGGAGAGCACTGGGTAGTTAGGAGGACTGTGGTAACTCTGATTGATCTGCTGCATCCACAGCTCAGTTGGAAAAATCTGCTAAGAGGACAGTCGTTAGTCTTAATGACCACATATTTTGCATTTATGGAAGAGTTGCAAACTAAAAAAAGCCACTTGACATCATGCTGATGGACTTGCTTTCTCAGACTTTATGGGAAGATGGATGGGGCTAACTACAGGCTAAACATACTAGAAAATGACTGAATGGTTGCTATAACAGAATAGTTTAGATCTTAGATATGTGTAGAAATATTATATTTGTTTAGTCTAACCAGCTTGAGATATTTGTGTGAAGATTGTGTGAACAATGGGCACAAATTTACACTTTGTGGAAATAAGACACAAACATACAACTGTAAACATACAGATATACTAGATATTTGTTACAGTCTCCTGAAATATTAGGACTTTGCCTTAAAGTTCTAGACATATGATTAAGATGATTCCCCCCGGCAGGTAACAGGTGTGGTAGCAGACAGCGGAGGCCGGGCTCATTACATCCTCTCTGGTACATGGGATGACAAAATGGAGAGCGCTAAGATCGTTCAGAGCAGTCGAGGAGGAAGCGGATCAGAAGGAAAGCAGAAGACAGTCTATCAGACTTTATCTCCCAAACTCCTCTGGAAGAAATACCCTCTACCGTAAGCCTCTGCTCCATATATCGGACAGCTACTATTATTGAGTAATTGCTGCTGTGAAAAAAAGACCCCTGTGTTCAATCAATATTATTGACTGTATAACACCAAAACATTTCCCCTCACTTTTTCAGGGAAAATGCTGAGAACATGTACCACTTCTCAGCTCTGGCTCTGACCCTGAACGAGCCTGAAGACGGGGTGGCACTGACCGACAGCCGGCTGAGACCAGACCAGAGGCTGATGGAGGAAGGCCGGTGGGATGAGGCGAACTCGGAGAAACAGAGACTAGAAGAGAAACAAAGAGCTGCAAGAAGACGGAGGGAAGCAGAGGCCACAGATGCTCTGGATGAAGGCATGTCATACACAGTAAAAAACAGTCTGCACTTTGAAAGGAAGCGATTACTTTATCTAGTCTTGGGACATACAATTTATTTTGAAATGTATGAATTCAGAGATAAAGATAATTAAATATTCTGAAAACCTGTAGCCCAGAGCTGGATTCATCATGTCTCTGTGTTGGACAAATGCAGGATTTTATTCAATGTATCCATGCCTTGTCTTTCTTTTCTTCCCTCTGTTGATGTTCAGAGTGTGATTATGATTCTGGTGAGTGGGGATGTTCTGTGCCCCTCCTTTGTACATTCCACACACTTTCTCCATTTTTTTTTGTTTGCCCTCTGTGCTCTGCCTCTGGATCTGCATGATACTCACCCTATGTCAACTTCTTGGAATAACAACTTAGGATAACACATGACATTTTCCTGCATACATGTGCATTTCCATTAAGGACTGACCTAAGATAAATGCTGAATGAAATATAAGTACAGAGCTTTACAAAAGCATTTATACCACTTTTCACATTTTTTTTTGTTTATTTTTAATGGGATTTTCTAATGCAAAGTAGCCCATAATTGTGCTGGGAAAGGAAAAGGAAATAATATTTTTTCAAAGTTTTGAGATTATTCTCTATAGAATAGTGCCCTGCAAATCTATTGAGTCCCTTTACTCCCCTAAATCCCTAAATCAAACTACGAAATGGCAAACCCGACAACTCAGCGAAAAAGGTGGGGCAGGATTTAAAGGAAAAGTCCGGTCGGCAAAGAATGATCATTGGATCATTATCTATGCCTAAAACTAATACCTTTGCGGTGATTTAATGAATGTAATTATTATTAATCAGTAAAAAAAAATTGGGGCCATCTTTGCCCCAATTTAGTAACACCTCACTCCTGACATCCTTCGGTGTCACATCATGTTGCAGTAAGCCGAGCGTCATTCTCCCTGCTTTGCAAGTAAAATCAATGGGAACTATGAGACACATCTGTAATCAACAACAATTATTTAAGATTTCGAGAGGACCTCACCATTTAATTTTGCGAGAGCTATAGTTAAACTGACAATGCCCACATGCATGGCATTTGGATGTTGTAATACATCGGGTAAAATACAAAAAAAAAGTGTTATTTCACCTTTTCGATTCATGATCCACCACGGATGGGTGTGTCGTTGGTTTGCCAACTTGAAGAGGGAGGATTTGCCATCGAACTTCTGGCCAGAGAAAAAACGCGTAATATGTAGCCAACATTTCAAAGAAGAATGTTTTCAAGATGACTTGGATAATAGCGCGTTGTGACTAACACCAGATACAGCACTGGGACTTGATGAACAGCCGATACCGCACGTGACGTCACAAACCAGTAGGTAGCAGTAGTGCTCTTTGACAAACATGGATGTCTCCAGTAAAGCACATTCACATGAAATTTTCTCTTAAATAAAACACATCATTTATTGAATAATATGTAATAATTTCATATTTAATATACTTTCAGAAGTTTCAATTCTGAATATGACCGGACTTCTCCTTTAAAGCAATGTTTTGGTTCTAAAACAATATCTGAATCTTTGAACATAGTGCATGGCACTGCTCAATCCATCAAAAAAAAAATTGGGGGAGTAGACATGTGTCTGTCAACCTAACCTCTGCAAAGGGAGCTTCAATTGGATGGAAGTAGAGAAGAGGCCCATGGAAGCTTTGTTAGAGCTGCAGAGGTCCACAGCTCAGGTGGGAAGAGAAGGATATCAATTGATCATTTGCCCCATAAATCCAAACAGCAGCATACTGCTGTAACACTGTAACAAGTTTAGCAGGGACGGTAAAGCCAGTTAGTCGATGGAAAGATTACAAGAAAATTAATTACAAGAAAACCCTAAAAGATGACTTTAGACCCCAATTCACAGTTATGCACTGCTTTGTGTTGGAGTACAGAAAAGAAAATCTCAGTAAAGTAGATTGAAGTTGTTTTAGTAATCTGGCATAATTGTAAAATTCGTTTTGTGAAATCTTTAGATGCACATTTTGAAAAAAAAAAAAAAAAAAAAAACTTAGTTCATTTGACTTGGATTTGTTATAAGTAAAAAATCACTACACAACTCCCATATCTAACAATTTCACTTTTTACCAGTTTGATAGCTTAAAACAAATGATGAATATGATTTTATTAATTCTTTGCTTTTCACTTATCTTCCTTGTTTTGTTTGATGTTCCTTTTAGATTTTTCAAACTCGTTACTGCTCATTTGGAGCTAAACTAAATGTAGTGCACAGACACCAGTGGCAACCCATAGAAAAAACATTCCTGTATTTCTTAGTAATAGCTTTCAAGTGTCGCCTCTCTTCTGGAGGATGTTTAGGTAAACATTATGATATAAATGTAAAATCTTTGCTTCTTCCTCAGGTAGAGACTATGAAGGCTACCAGCCGCTGTGGTTTCACCAGAGAAGGGACTCGGTCACTGGAGAGACAAACTTTGTGTACAAGGGAGGTTACTGGGAGTCGAAGGAGAAAGAGGACTGGAGCATGTGCCCTGACATCTTTTAGCTCAGGAGCTCGTCTTGGATGACTCCGACCTCACTGGACAGGGAGCTGTCCAGCCTCTGGCCTCAAGCAGTGAAAGCTAGCTGGCTTACGAGCACCAAAAGGACCTTTACGAGTGTGAGAAATTATGTGTCTCACACAGTCTCTGATTACACATTACCTCCAAAAGATATGTTTCTTTATTTTAACTTGGATTAAAAAAAAAAAAATCACAGGGAGTTCTGTCAGCAGTCCTCCCTGCACAATGCTGAAATTCTGCTGCTCCACAAATAAAACTCACAATGCACTTTTCCAGAATTTCCTCTACTACAGATTAACAACAGCAGAGCTAAAGCTCATATGATTGCAGATTTTTATTAGTCTGGTGAAATAATTAAAAGCCACGCTGAAACACAGCAGTGTTAAATTCACATCAGTATTTCCACTGAAAGACAAACATTGTCCTTAAATTTTAAAATCCCAGTTAAAACAAAACTATAGACTTTTTACATCCACATGATTACATTATGGTGGATTTGCAAAGAAAGTTGTGAAAATGTTGGTAAGAGGGATTGTATGATGAGATATAGCAGATCAAAGTGCTAAAGTGCAATTACAATGAAATCATAAAAGGAAAAACTGAATTTTAAAGTAAAGTCTGAAAATCAGGCTGTATATGATCAATATAGAATAAATCAATATAAGAAATAAAAGTAGTAAGTTGATCAGGTTGCAAAGCAAAATGCTTTGCAACCTGATCAACTTACTACATTGTGAACAGATCATTCATTTTTACCAGGAAGTTATTTTACATGCCCGATTCTAGGAAGCTTTTTTTTATTTGCTGAAAGTTGGTGTTTCTCTCAACACAGCCCTGCAGTTGTGGTTCAGAGAACCTTTATGTCGTCAGCAAAAAATTCCCCTATCTACGTTTATTTCACATTTACTGAAGCCTTCAATGAGACTTTTGGAAGCACTTTCTGCTGTTGTTGACTGGAACGGTATTTCTCAAAACCGTTGGAGAGTGAAGGATAATTTCTGATGTGTTTATACTTTTGTAGTTTTGTTTATCTGCTGCAGGAGATTTTGTAGGCCTTTTAATATTTCCGCTGATGATTTAAGATGATTTTCTATAATCAACTCCTAGTCAGAAAATGTTGTGATCTTGATAAATAATATCTTCCAGCAGGAGGTACCTCAGGGCATCAGGAGGTCCTAATCTGGTATATTTATCATTTTACTGGCCCACATGGAGCCAAAGTTCAAACTCTTTAGAAAATATAGAAATATACACAATTATATATGAGATTTTAGAGTTTTATGGCTATTTAACTACATTATATGTAATGATACCTAATAACACGAAAGTAAAATGATGTGAGAAGAAAAAAATTGTTTTGTTTTTTTACATGTTTGATGGAATGAAATGACAAAGTGTGTCATGTGGATGTAGAGCTGAGAAGTTAGGAATGAACCTGGAGTTTACTGAATAAATTTCATTTGGCATATTTAGATTGTGGGTGCACCCAAGTCCCTTGTTCTGAACCTAACATCAAGCATAGAGCTAGAATAACAAAACATAACAGTCTTTTTCATTGACATAAAAGCAACCGTCTTCATTTGTGCCAACAGTCATAACCATTTACCATGGAGTTGAGCTCAGATGTTGAGAATGTCTGAACTGAAAGTTAATGCAAAATACAGAATAGATGTTTAGAATCTCTCCCCCACTCTGCATGTTCTTTAACTTTTTTCTCTGCTGCTCACACACAACAACAAACTGTGTAACCCTTGGTGATTGTTCAAGCTGAAAAAGTCTGGACCTTATCACTGATGCATTCATTAGTTACCGCACAGTTCAACCTGCGACATGTTGGTGTTTCTTACCCACCACCTCTTCCATCACCAGTGGCTCTCATATCAGCGTAGGGAGTCCTGTAGCCGAAGCTGGATCAGGCTGTGTGAGCAGCTCCGGGTGAATTCAGCTGACAGGCGGGTAAAGATGGTTACAGAGGCAGACGGGGCCGGGCCCTTCAGCTGCTGCTGCTTTGGCACCAAATCATAACTCCTTTACTGTCGACGGAAATGCTGATCTGGAATCAGCACACAAAGACACAGGAAGTTTTTGCCTTCAACTGACTGAATAAGGGAACTCCCCTGACCTGTGCACTACGAGTCTATGGTGACAAGAGTTTTAAGAAAACGAGTTAGTATTTTTTGTAATTATTACTAGTAATGTGGGAATCTTGGCTGGAGGTAATTGTACCTACCATCCATTCAATTTGTGTGAATATTTTGTGATAAAATATTAACACTGTAAAATGAATAACAGTTATACTAAAATAAGTGTGATATTTCTGTACAGAAAAGACTGAAAGAGCCTGAAGGATTCACTGTCACTTTAATTTCTAACCTAAACTCATTCTGCAAAAATGAGTTAACCCTGAGGCACCTGTAATTTGGCCAAAAAACATCTTAACACAATAAAAAGTGTTTTTGATAGTCTTCAAGGTTTACTTGTTACAAATGCTTTTCTCCATGGTTTTATATACATCTATATATATATGTGTGTGTTTGAAATGTGTGAAAGCCTGCTTGCCAGTTCAAATAACAAAAGGTGAAACCCAAAGCCTGAACCAGTTTAAGAGCCAGAGGAGACGTCTTAAAAAAAAAAAGAGGACAACATGATCCACGCCCTGAAGGCCAAACTACAGCATTTCAAAGAAAGGCAACGCCACTTACCAACAAGTTTAAAAGCCTTTTAGAAGCTCCTCAAACTGGTTAAACTCAATTCACAACTAGATAAACCACATCAAAAGACAAAGGGTGACATTTAGTGCTGGAGAACAAGGTAAAGTCGCAGGGAAAGCAGAAAGGAACTCAGACAGCTAGCTGAGAAGTCCCATGCAACACCTTGATCTGAGTGTAGCTACATGGAAAAACACAATGACACCAGAAAGATAATCTGCACATATAGGCAGATGGAGAAGGTGGTCAGATCCCTTGCAGAAATCCTCCTTTTGTTCAGGACATTCAGAAATGACCACCAGCACATGGAAAGCAGAACGAGCCGACCTATTATCGCATGGTTCCACATGAGCCCCTGTTTATTTATGTTATTTAATTTTTTTTAAAGAAACAATCTTTGTTTAAAAAATGAAATTGTGGATCTGATATGAGTATGCGCATAATATTAAATAATTGAGTCAGTAAATCAGCAGTGTGTAGATGCAGGCATGAGAGGAAAAAGTGATGATTGACTTGTTGCCTGTCAAGTTGAATCAGCACTATGCAGCTGATGATCTGGCCATGTCCACTGAGCAACAGAGAAAGACAAGATGCATGAGGGATTTCATGCATAAGACATTTAACATACGATGTTTGAGAAGCTTAGTTTATGATGTTGAATTATTTTAAGCATAGCAAATTTTTATTACATTTCAAAATAGCAACACCTCGAAGACAGATGAGGATCTGCTCAGCAGTTCTCGCTACCTGCAGAAAGAACACAGTGTCCATAAAGCATACAGTTAATGATTAGACTGAGCAGTTTTCTGCCTCTAAATGGGAAAACAAACTCTATAAAATTGTCTAGATAGGGGAAAATATTGTTTTCATCTTCTTTTTCCCTTTAGAGAGGGTTATATTATCAATATCCTTTTACAGTATTTTTTCACTGTGGTGAGACTCCAAGATTTACTTCCATAATGCTTTAGTTATCTGTTCAGATTTCTTTTTTTTCTCAGGCATCATTGTTGTCATTTTGGTATGGCCATACTGTTATGTTTTTATAATGAACATAACTGCTTGGCTGTCACACTTTTCAGAATGGTGACAATGATGAACACTGGAGATTATTTTTTCAACTTCCAGACTCCAAAACCCAAAACTGTGATTCTTGGCTTCATAATTCAATTAAATTCAGTTTATTTATATAGCGCCAAATTCACAACACATGTCATCTCAAGGCACTTTACAGTTCAACCAGATCATACAATCAAATTGATACAAAGTTTTCTATCTAAGGAAAACCAGTTGATCGCATCGACTCATTGACTCAAATACAATCCCTCACACTAAGCATGCTTGTAGCCACAGTGGAGAGGAAAAACTCCCTTTTAACAGGAAGAAACCTCCAGCAGAACCAGGCTCAGTGTGAGCGGCCATCTGCTGAGGCAGACTGGGGTTCAAGGAGACAGAAGCATAATGAAAAAGTAGTGATAATTATTATATTTTTATTATTGTTAGAGCAGAGTGTTAGCTGTGATCAATATAGGGAGATGCAAGGTGATCCACCACTCCTTTATTCTCCCCCTAACTAAAGTTGTGAATTCAGTCATAGTGTTATTCCTCCTAATATACTTGAACAACGTATTTAAACAGCTACAGCTGTTGCCAAGTAACTAAAATTAACTCATTGTAAAATTAAATCTGCATGTTTGGATAAATCATCTGCCTGTTTGGATACTTTATAATATATCTGTGTTGTGGTTTTAACTAGAAGCATCATCACACTAAAAACCTGTTAGGAATTTTAACTAATAGATATGAGGAGCAATATCAGAATGTAAATTCCTTCAGCATGAAATCTACTTTCCTTCCCTCTGCCTCTGTGACTTTCTAAAATGTCCAGAGTCATAAAAAGACAGAAGTAAGCCCTGTCATCATTTTCCTTGTCATATTTCATAAGTTAATATCAGCTACTTCTAGCTGTTTACGTTTTTTATGCCGAGCGGTTACTGTATTGACCAGAATTAAACTTAACTGAAAGCAGCGACTGTGGCAGACAAATTCAGTTATATCAGTGAGCTGGAGGCATGTGGCTGATTAATGGGCTGAGATTTGTCAGGAACAATGCTAGATGTTTGCATCTGTATCCTGCTGTCAGCAGGTTATAATAGCATAGTATTTACTATGACAGATGTGAATAATATAACTAGCAGTAATAGTTTTTTTATTCATTTGTTATTTGATTTGTTTTTTGCCAACAGCTGGTAGCTTGTTTATTTTGCCAATGAAGAAAGATTTTTTAGATTGAATGCCTCTAGGTAGAGCTGTAGATGCAGTCATGAAACACTATTAAATCTGTGAAGTTATTGGCACTTTTACAAAGTAAACCTTCTCATTCCTTCCTGGAGTTTTCAAAGCATCCAAAGCATTTTATTTGATCTACTCTGAAACTATAAACTTTGATATATCAGATTTCTTTTAATTCTCAATAGACAAAATTAAAAACAGTCTCAAAACATTTGTGGATTTCCCTTCAGCATTTGGCCACACTGAGTTACTGCTTAGATTGCTTATGTCTTGGGGTAGCTCTGAATCTAATAATTGTGAAACAATTAATTGGCATGGAGATATTTTCTTTCCAGAGGTTTACTCACTGATCAGTTCCTGAGTCTGAACACTGCACACAAACAAAGGCTTTGCTCTGTTTTTTATACAAATCAGTCCAACCTGCTGTGTTCAACTAAAACATTGTTTTAAGGGGATATATATGTGCTGCAGAAACAGGAGCTGCAGTTAAAAAGAATGACGGTTATGTCTAAAATCAGTTGTTTTTCCATCTCTGTTTTCCCTTTAGCAACTCCTTACATAGCTAAAAGTTGCTGTTCAGGAGCAGGATCTGTTTAGGTGTTTCCATAACGACCAGTTGTTCTCAGATTTCCTGCAGCAGCAGCAGATCTTCAGCTCCGATAGAGTCTGGCTCTGTAGCAACTTACTCTGCATAAAGGTAAGTGGCAATATGTTGATGAGGGGATTGTGTATAATCTTTTCCTTTAGCATCCAGTTAGATGTTAATGATGCCATTTTAATGTTGCAGTCTGTTGATGAAAAGCATAAGTTTGATTTGTTTTTTTTTCTCTTTTACCTCCTTTTAAGAACAGCTACACAATCAGAATCAGAATCAGAAATACTTTAATAATCCCAGAGGGAAATTACTTTTGTTACACGCTCTAGTTATAGTTTTACATGATATATACACACATCCAACTATACAATATAATAAAGATAAAAAATAAGAATAAAAAGAGATAAAATATATATACACATATAGCTCTTCTGTATATATATCTGTACGTATATCTATGTATATGTAAAAACTAAATCCAAATAAAGTGAAAAGTCCAATTAAAGTGAATAAATCCAAGTAAGGTGATACGTGGCGTGCAAAAATAGTGCATAAAGGCGATCAAATCAACCTAAAATGCTTTATTAATGTATTTAGATAAAACATTGTAACATTTTCCTTTAAAATAAAGAGAGGTAGTCTATTGTCTCCTTGGTGGAACCATTTCCTAACAAGCTGACCAGGTTGCCTTGTCAACCGGCCTGTTGAGCAACATCCCCCACTCTCAAATTAATCATGGCTGTCCGTCAGCCTTAGCCACTAGTTCATGCTGGGGGTGTGAAATCTCTGTGGGTTAACCCAACAGCTGCTTATTTTTACAGGTTTAGGGCATGGCTGGTCATGATGGTAATGAAGGAAAAGACTTAGAGAAAACCTGCTTTTGTTTTTGCTCTGGTCAGTAGTTTTAAAGCCATTCTATATTTCTGTTCTTAAATTGCCACCTCATATTTACCCCTGTTTCCTTTTTAGATGCAAATCAAACAGACAACATGATCAGACTGGATCACTGTGACCTCCTCCTAGATTCAATAGATCAACAGCTTGATCAGCTGCAGGTTAGCGAATGTTATTTTAAGTCATTATCACCTACAATGTGTTCACAAAAAATATTTTTTTCAAAATGTCTTTACTTTCTGCAGATAAAGTCTCCAAAGCTGAAAAATCACATCTTCCATGCGACAGGAAATGCCAAACCTGCAGGTAATTTATGATTTATACCAACATAAGTGCAAATGTTTGAGTGTTACTGTATTACTGCTTTGAGTATAAAAGTAAGTGGTAGGGCAAAAAATGAAAGACTTGCCATGTATATATGTGTATAACGTATAATGTAATAATGTATATATAATGTATATATGTATGTATGTGTATATATATATGTATATATACATATATGTATATGTATGTATGTATATGTAAAAAAAAAAAAAAAAAAATATATATATATATATATATATATATATATATATATATATATATATATATATATATATATATATATATATATATATATTTATATATTATTACTATTTTTTTTTTTTCATGAAACTGGAAACTATGTTTATATCAGACTTAAGCCGATTCTCCTGATGGAGGGTGAAAGAAAATGCAAAAAGGAATAACTATGTTTTATATCTGAACAAAATTAGATGGATATTTTCATATTGTCAAGTTTTATTTGTGCCAACACCAACTCAGGCTTTCTGAGTGAATTCTTTACAGAACTCATTTTTTGCACCAACTTAGTGACAAATATTCTTAATATGTGTCTTCTAACTTTGCACCCAAACGAAAGTTACGTATGTAACTACGGTTCTATGAATCCCGGATGACCGCCAGAGGGCGGTGCTGAAAGCACTGAATGTTCCCTTCGGGCATGCGCAGTTCGAGTAATTATACCAACAGAGTCACACCTGTGACACTGGATGACCACTCAGAAGCTATATAGCCTGGTGTCATCCTTTGCTCTGCTCCTACAGAATCTTCTCGCAAAAGCAAGGATTCTGAGTGACAGAGAAGCTCTGGCGGTCATCCGGGATTCATAGAACCGTAGTTACATACGTAACTTTCGTTCTATTTCATCCCTACTGACCGCCAGAGGGCGGTGCTGAAAGCACTGAATGACTAATGCCAACGATGTCACAAGGAATCCTGAGCACATACCTCACAGAGGAGGCCCAGCAGAACCTTGTAAAAGGACCTGACCCAGGGGATGAGGGGCAGCCACATTGACACTGTAGAACCTGGTGAAGGTGGTTGGGGAAGCCCATGAAGCAGCAGCACATATAGCTTCCAGCGGAACCCCTCTCAAAGCAGCCCAGGAAGCGGTGACGCTCCTGGTGGAATGTGCTCTCACACCGACTGGCAGGGAGCAGTGACCTGCAGCGTAGGCGTGGCAGATGACACTCACAATCCAATGGGACAGACGCTGTTTAGAAAGAGGACAGCCTAACCTTGGACCCCCATAGCATAGGAAAAGCTGGTCCGAGCGTCTCAGATTGGCGGTGGCTGCAATGTATGCCTCTAACGCTCTTATTGGGCACAACTCAGACTCATTCTCAGTTGTACCAGATTGAGGCTGAAACCGAGCCAGCCGCAATGGCTGGTTACGGTGAAAAGGAGACAACACCTTAGGCACAAACGCAGTATTAGGCCACAGGGTAACACCAGAGCCATCTGGATTCCACCTGATACACCTAGGGTTGACAGAAAGAGCATGCAGCTCGCTGACCCTCTTAGCTGAGACGATAGCCATCAGGAAAGCAGTCTTGCAGGAAAGCCACTTGAGTTCTGCTTGTGCCAAAGGCTCGAATGGAGGGTGGCACAGAGCTGTGAGAACCAACGGCAGATCCCAATCTGGGGCTCGTGGGGCTGGCTGCTGGCACAACCTACGAGCACCATGCAGAAAAAGTGAAACCAGTTCATGGCGCCCCACTGTACGGTTGTCAACAGTTCGGTGAAGACATGAAATTGCTGCAACATACACTTTAAGGGTCGAAGGAGAGCGGCCCTTATCAAGGAGAGACTGGAGGAACTCCAAAATAGTGGGCACCGAGCAGGAAACTGGGTTCTCATTGTGGGCAGAGCACCACTGAGAAAAGAGGCGCCATCTGTTAGCATACTGCAGCCAAGTGGAGGAAGCCCTAGCACTCAATACGGTGTATCTCACTGTGTCTGAACACCCAGTCAGCCTCCCAGGGGCCATGCCCACAGCTGGAGACGTTGAGGGTTGGGGTGCCATATCTGTCCCCCCAACTGAGACAGCAGATCCCTCCTTGCTGGAAGACGCCATGGAGTACCGTGACACAGACTCCAAAGCAGCGGGAACCACGGCCGCGCTGGCCAGAACGGAGCTACCAGCAACACTCTGTGGCCCTGCTCGAGAACCCTCCGTAGAGTCGGCCAAATCAGTGAGAGGGGTGGAAAGGCATACAGGAGAACCTGCGGCCATGGATGAGCCAGTGCATCCTGGCCCAGTGCGCCCGCCATCCCGGTTAGGGAATACCATAGGGGGCAATGGGTCGACTCCTCTGTGGCGAACAGATCTACCTCTGCCTGCCCAAAGAGGTTCCAGATTATGCGCACTACGTCGCGGTGAAGAGACCACTCTCCCGGAGCAGGTGCCTGGCGGGATAGAGAGTCCGCAACCTGGTTCTGCCGTCCTGGCAGATACGCTGCGCGCAGGGTACACAGACGGGGAAACGCCCATTCCAGGAGATCCCTCAACACCTTCAAGAGACGTGCTGACCTGGTGCCACCTTGGTGGTTTATATGATAAACAACAGAGGTGTTGTCTGTCCGAATCAGCACGTGCCTTCCCTCTAGGTGGGGCAGAAGGCACCTGAGGGCCATGTGCACAGCCCGCAGCTCCAGCACATTTATGTGTTCGGTGCGCTCCCTTGGGTCCCAGAGACCCCGAACAGCTCTGTGTTGCCACACGGCACCCCAGCCCATGAGGCTGGCATCCGTGGTGACCACCTCCCTTCGACACACTACTAGCCCCATTGGAACACCACTGGACAAAAGGGTCCCGTCTCGCCAAGGAGCTAGGGCATGGAGGCAGCTCCTGGTCACCATTAGCCTGCGATGCCTGTGCAGCCTGGCGTCTAGGCGAAAGCTGTTGAGCAATCGCTGCAAAGGACGCAGAAGGAGCAGCCCTAAGGGCACGACACGAGTGACTGATGTCAGTTTGCCCAGCATTCGCAGGATGATGATGTAGGGAAACTCCCTGCCCAGTCTGAATCGACGGACAAGCTGGAGTATGTCGTCCACCCTGTGAACAGATCGACGGGCCATCATGGTAGCAGAGTCCAGATGCATCCCAAGAAAGGTGGTTGTCTGAGATGGAACAAGACAACTCTTTGCCAAGTTGACTTTGAGGCCTAACAGTGACACATGAAGTAGAAGCTGGGACGTATCCCGAGAGGCAGCTACCTGAGAGGGAGCACAAAGAAGCCAATTGTCCAGGTATGGCAGAATCCTGACTCCGGAGGCCTGTAGAGGAGAGAGGGCTGCTTTCACGCATCGAGTAAACACCCTCGGGGAAAGGGAGAGCCCGAATGGGAGCACCCGGAATTGCCAATGGCGCCCCCGATAGGCAAACCTGAGAAAACGGCGATGTTCTGCCGCAATAGGCACGTGAAAGTAGGCGTCTGTCAGATCTACTGATGTAAACCAATCTCCCGCCACAATGGTCTGAAGGACCTCTGTTATGGTGAGCATGTGGAAGGGAAGGACCTTCAGGTACTGATTCAGTCCCCTTAGATCTAAAATGGGGCGAAAACCGCCGGTCTTCTTGGCCACAAGGAAGTATGTGGAGTAGTAGCCTCTGGGTTGCCGCAGAGGATCTACAGACTCGATTGCCCCCTTGCCCAGGAGGGCGGAAAGCTTCTGGTCTAGTGCCTGAGATTTCACCGGGTCTGTGATGACAGTCATCTTGACCCGGTGTGAGAGGGGGGGCCGCCTTCGGAACTGGAGCCTGTAGCCATTGGTTAAGGTGGCAACCACCCATGGATCTACGGCATGAGCAGCCCAGAAATTCAGCTGCTGATGGGAAAAATGTCCGACGGCTGGCCCGGTGGCATCATCTTCTATCCCCACGGCCCCTGGGGGCTCTGGGGGGAGGGCGTCCAGGATTTGAGGCCCGGGTCTGTCTAACAGGGCGGCAGACTGGCTCACGAAAGTCCCTCCTCGGTCTCTGCCGCACATCATGGGGATAGGAACCAATAGGTCTGCCACCAGTCTGAGGTCGTGGCTGAACGCTGGGGGTAGTGGCAGGGCGGCCCGAACGCTGGGGAAAGGCAGGTATGCTCCTGCGAAGGCCGGAAAGCTGCTGGCTAGTCTGACGTGCCTGAGCAGTCCGTTCCAGCGCCTCCAAGGCAGCTGATCCAAACAGCTCCCCTGGTACAACCGGGACACCCCTGAGGGTCCTACGGCATGCTTCAGTCAGAGGAGATTGTGCCAACCAGACCTGTCTACGAGCTTGGACAAGGAAAGACATGACCCGTCCAAGCTCTCTGGTCATCAGCGCGAAGGCCTGCAGCGCTGCGTCACTATAACCAACCGCCGCACTTGCACCACCAGTGTCCTGAACAGATGCAGACAGGGCAAACATGAGGTGCGCCAGAGAATTGCCAAGGCGGCCAGCACGCGCTCCTGCATTGTACGCCTTACAGAGGAGGTCATCTGTAACCCGACATTGAGTCCGCGGGCACCGGACATCAGGACGCAGGGCTTCATCTGGTGACACAATCAGTGAAGCAACAGCTGGTTCAATTGCTGGCATACGGTCCAGGCCGGCCTTCACCGACTCATGCATGGCAGCTAATACACGACCATCCGATGAGAGACGCGACAGCGCTCTCGGTTCCCGCCAACAGGCGTGTAACTCCTTCAAGTACTCCTCTGATGGAGGTACAGAAAAAGGAGTAGGAGCCCTTCCACGTCTGAAAAAGGCACTGCCGGAGCTGGATGCCTCTCCTTGTGGGAGTTCCAGCTGCAGCTGCTTCAGGGCCATAGACATGACCTCCCGCATGGAACCGTCACCGGCCTCTCCAACCGCACTCTGAGATGAAAATGAACCAGCCTCAGAGGCTTGAGAGGACCCTGCCTCCTCCTCATCTCTAAAATGAGAAGCGGAAGCAGCCAGAGAGATAACGTCATCCTCTACAACCAGCTCGGGCATTGGTGGGGAAGAGAGCCCAACCACTGGGAGCGAGGGATCAGATTGCCGTGTCTGCAACAAGGACTTCACCTCTGCCAGCTCTGCTGACAACTGCTCCACCCTTGTGGACAGGCCCTGGTCAGGTTTGGCCCGCTTCCTCCGGGGGAGGGGCACAGATGCTGTGGTCCCACCACGGCGCTTAGAACGCTTGGGGGGAACCACCTGCCCAGAGGGCGGAAGGTCCGAGGCCTCCTGGGGGCACAACTGGGCCAACCGGGCCACCCTCACTGCATGGGGCATAAAGCTGCAGTTCATACAGGGGTTCTCAGACAGCGCCTCCAAAAGGTGCTCATGTCCAAGGCAGGTAGGGCACAGGTCGTGGCCATCCTCTGCCTGCAGGGCAGCCCCACAATCCATGCAGCTGTGAGAGCCATCCATGTCGAAGGCCGACAAGGCTTAAAGAACAGAAAGTTATCGAAAATCGGGAGAGGGGGCGCAAACGCAGCCGTCACCAATTACAGCAGAGAAACGAAAGAGGCTGCGAGCACAAGGCAGCCGATACTGGGAGAGGGGGCGAGAACCGCTACCGTCACCAGGTATAAAACCAATAAACCAAAAAAGCTAACAACGTTAGCTGTATGGAAACTTAAGTTGGGAGTAGGAGCGAACAACGCTGCCGTCACCAATTAAGAGAGCAGACCAACGAAAAGGCTGCAAAAAAGGTTGATTTTGGGAGAGGGGGCGAAAACGCTGCCGTCACCATTCATAACTAAGCAGACCGATGAAGAAGGCTGCAAACAAACCAAAAAAGGCTAACAACGTTAGCCGTCTCCAACTTCGGCAAACGAAGTAGACCACACTTGGTTGGGAGAGGGGGCGAAAACCGCGGCCGTCAGTAATTATAGCAGCGCAGACCGGTGAAAAAAAGGATGCAAAAGTAGGGAATATACTGGGAGAGGGGGCGAAAATCGCTGCCGTCACCAGGTATAACACCAACAAACTAAAGAAGCTAACTACGTTAGCCGTATATAACTTTGGCAGTGAAGTTATTCACACTGGGAGTAGGGGCGAAAACGCTGCCGTCACCAGTTCGAAACAAAACAGCACGAAGCTGTAGGTAAAAAGCTAAAGTCGTGAGCCGGGAGAGGGGGCGCGGACGCTACCATCACCAGCAAACAACTCACTTACCTTCCGTATTCCTCAGAATCGACCCGTTGCAGCCCTGGGAGGGCGGAGAATAACCGCAACTCCGGTCAAGATACAGGGGCTTCAGACAACGGGGAAGTTAGCGAACCGCTTGCGAGAAGAAAAAAGGAGCAGAGCAAAGGATGACACCAGGCTATATAGCTTCTGAGTGGTCATCCGGTGTCACAGGTGTGACTCTGTTGGTATAATTACTCGAACTGCGCATGCCCGAAGGGAACATTCAGTGCTTTCAGCACCGCCCTCTGGCGGTCAGTAGGGATGAAATAGAACTCTTACTCACTTTTTTGGTTTTACAAAATACCTCCAACACAGTCATACTTATCACGACTCTAATTAGATTTAGAGCTAGACCGCTAAGGTTTTATGTCTTAAGTAGCTTCTAACAGTGGACCTTTCAGATTGGCCTGCATTGGTTGCAGAAAAATGTAAAAGAAGCTTTTTACAGCCTTTTTTTTTAGTTTGCCTTTTTGCTCAGTCTGTAAGATTCTGGTTATAACCTAACTGTTCTCTAACAAACCTGTGGGATCTTTTCAGACCAGTTGGATTTATACTGAGATTAATTAGTAATGAGTTTTCGAAGGCTATTTGGTCTGCCCCACTGTTATCATATAAAAAAAAAAAAAAAAACACATATGAAATAATATACACTCATCGGCCACTTTATTAGGTACCCCATGCTAGTAACGGGTTGGACCCCCTTTTGCGTTCAGAACTGCCTCAATTCTTCGTGGCATAGATTCAACAAGGTGCTGGAAGCATTCCTCAGGGAGTTTGGTCCATATTGACATGATGGCATCACACAGTTGCCGCAGATTTGTCGGCTGCACATCCATGATGCGAATCTCCCGTTCCACCACATCCCAAAGATGCTCTATTGGATTGAGATCTGGTGACTGTGGAGGCCATTTGAGTACAGTGAACTCATTGTCATGTTCAAGAAACCAGTCTGAGATGATTCCAGCTTTATAATATGGCGCATTATCCTGCTGAAAGTAGCCATCAGAAGTTGGGTACATTGTGGTCATAAAGGGATGGACATGGTCAGCAACAATACTCAGGTAGGCTGTGGCGTTGCATCGATGCTCAATTGGTACCAAGGGGCCCAAAGAGTGCCAAGAAAATATTCCCCACACCATGACACCACCACCACCAGCCTGAACCGTTGATACAAGGCAGGATGGATCCATGCTTTCATGTTGTAGACGCCAAATTCTGACCCTACCATCCGAATGTCACAGCAGAAATCGAGACTCATCAGACCAGGCAACGTTTTTCCAATCTTCTATTGTCCAATTTCCATGAGCTTGTGCAAATCGTAGCCTCAGTTTCCTGTTCTTAGCTGAAAGGAGTGGCACCCGGTGTGGTCTTCTGCTGCTGTAGCCCATCTGCCTCAAAGTTCGATGTACTGTGCATTCAGAGATGCTCTTCTGCCCACCTTGGTTGTAACGGGTGGTTATTTGAGTCACTGTTGCCCTTCTATCAGCTCGAACCAGTCTGGCCATTCTCCTCTGACCTCTGGCATCAACAAGGCATTTCCGGCCACAGAACTGCCGCTCACTGGATGTTTTTTCTTTTTCGGACCATTCTCTGTAAACCCTAGAGATGGTTGTGCGTGAAAATCCCAGTAGACCAGCCGTTCTGGCACCAACAATCATGCCACGTTCAAAGTCACTCAAATCACCTTTCTTCCCCATACTGATGCTCGGTTTGAACTGCAGGAGATTGTCTTGACCATGTCTACATGCCTAAATGCACTGAGTTGCTGCCATGTGATTGGCTGCTTAGAAATTAAGTGTTAACCAGCAGTTGGACAGGTGTACCTAATAAAGTGACAGATGAGTGTATAAAATCATACTTTTCAAATGTTTGTGAAAGAAAGATATCATAACTTATTTTTCATCCACCACATATAAAATACAAAAAATACAAAATTCATAAAATATAAATTAAGGTTTGTAGTGATAATTTCCTTCTCCCTTTCTTAGAAAATACACAGAGCTCCTGGGATAATTTATTCAATCATAAGGAAAGCAAAAGAAGTCTGGAAAAAATCCTTGAGGGCAAAGAGGAAACTTACTGGGATCAGGTCATCTGGAGGCTCGAGAGGCTTCCTAGAGAGGTTTGTAAAAAAGAGACACAACCTCTTCCAGATCGTATCTCCACGGAGGACTTTGTAAAATGCTTCAAAGAGGAGATGATAGACCTGTCTCAATTTGAAAATATGGATCGACTAAACCGAGAGGAAAAGATAGAGAGGGCAAAAATCCCTGACAGTGAGACTCTTCAAAGCAATCAAAACCGTCCAAGTCCTGAGAGAAGATGGTCAGAAACAATTGACGGGATGATGGCTCATGGTTTTCAGTCAGATAAATCCTGTCTGAGAAAGGAAGAGAGAACGTCTCTTCTTGGAAGGTACAGAGAAAATATGTCACAAGATAACAAGAGAGCAGCAGCTGGAGAGAGAAACGAGACGCCACAGAGGCCTGGAGAGTTCGGCAGTGGTATGTACAAGTTGGCAACAAGATATCCTCATGCATCTTCTTAGTTTTCTCAGGTGGAGTAAATTAAACCTAAAAAACTTTCACCTGGACAGATATTTGTCCATGTCTGTCTCTTGGCATGTTTCTGGGCCAAATTAGATTCTTTAGAGCTGCTCAAACACTTCTGTTTTCTTTTTTTTTAGTTTATTCTTTTTGAAGATGACCCTACTTACTTGATGAAGTTTGTTTTAAAAAAGCCTGATATAAGAAAACGTCTCTCTCTTGTATCACTCATGTAAATTTAACATATACACTGACTGCCTTGTTAAAAATAAGACAATATTTAATTATTTTGCATCTGTCTATGAGTTGCAGATACACTTACCTGTAGTTTTTCTACAAATGTCCATTTTGGGCTCCTCTTTATTTGGTAATTTATGGCATTATTTTGAATTAATATGAGTATAAAGAAGTTTTGTATGTTAAAAAACGGATTTAAGAATAAATACTAAAACAGTAAAATCTGCCAAAGACCCAGTTGTGTGTTGGTTAAAACGCCAAAATTGTAGAGCATTGCTGTCTATATTTTCTATGTATGAACCGTCTCATTACATTGTGTGAATTTAGGCAGAAATTATTTAAATGAAGGTAATTTTTACCTTCATATTAGCCAGTTTCAGTCAGATCTTTTCTCTTTGAATAGGGCTTTATATTCTGTTCTCATCACTATTTAAGCCTCTGCTTTCACTGAATAAATAAAATCTAAAATACAGTTTTTTTTTTCTTGATCTCTGCATGAGGGCTTATTGAAGCCTGAGAGACTTTTATTTTAGTTTTACTTGTGCTGTGATATTGTAAAAGACTGGTGAAGCTACTGATAGCATGCTATACATCTGGTTCTCTCTCTGTTTATGAAACCAACTTTGTTTCTGTGTTTTTTTGTTGTTGTTTTTTTTCCAGGAGTTGCAGCTTGGAGTTTTGACAACATGTCAGCTGACAGCCAACTTGATTCAGACAGCTTAGAAGAAAGGAAGCAGGTCAAGTGGACAGGTACAGTAGTTGCTGCAGGAACCAATGTGGACTCACATAGGAAATTAAATACTGAATGCAAACCTGCAAAATAAAGATTACAAAACAAGTACACAGATTTGTGAATATAATTCAAATGTAATGAACTTTCTGTGCACTTTCTTTTCACTCTATCACAAGGATATTGCTCCTTTATTAAAGAGTTAGACTATCCAAATGACGGCTCTATTAACTACAGTGACAATGACACAGCAGCAGGAGAAGAAAGGGAAAATCAGGCTACAGCAGGTAAATGCAGAAATTGATCAGAAAAAAGATGAATGGCTTGTTTTGTTATGACAAAGGGAGAGGTTTCCATTACGGATGGATAGAGAAAAAAGTCTTTGTGTTTCCTCTAACAGCCTGTAATGATATCAAGACGTCCACTCCTGTGAGGTTATCAGAGAGGCGGCTGTCAGATTGCACCAACATGAAAGAGGACGTCTTTGACCTTGAACATGTAAGAATAGTAATTATAGAAAAATCCCCTGTACCTTGAATTTTGCTGCTTTTTCTGTTTTGTTTTGGTTAAGGAATGTGAAAAAGAGGAAAAGAAACGTAGATTTAAATGGATTCAGCTTAAAAATGTTGAGCACTGTCTCTAAAATCTGACAGAAAAAAAGGTATTTTATTAAGCAGAGGTCTCACACCCCAGTACTGTATATCATTTATGACCTAGCAGGCCATTCAGCAGTTAGAGCAGCCATCTGCAGGCACTGTCTAGTTTCAGAAGGAGAACACAATGTTGGAGTTTGCTTTGAGGCACAGCAGTTCAGAGAAATATTCTGTTAGTCACAATTTTAAATATGCACTAACACATTAATGCTGTGGTTTGTCAAACAGTAAGACGATGCTATGTATAGGTACCAGCTGCAGCAGCTGCAGAGGGAGATAGTCATGTCTGAAAAATGGGTGCCGCTGCAAAAGGGTACTAAAAACATGCCTTTGTTGATAATTTTATTAGTTTTGCATGTCTTAGACTTTTTATTTTTGGTTCTGCCCTGTTTCTCAAACAGAGCTGTGTTGAAATGTCAATGATGGAGCGCGAGGAGCTGGATCCACAGCTGGACTGTACCAAGAAAGAACTGTTCTCTGCGCTGCGACATTCGAGAAAGAAAATCGAGTCCTTGCAAGAGGTAGAGCTTCAGAACTTGTGTGACGCAGAAATAAATGAGATTACAATTAGAGCATGAGTTTATTATTCTAACTCAACTTATGCTATAATAGAATAACAGTTTAGCAGAAGGAGGTTTTGACTAACTTAGAAGCAAAAGTTACATCCAGTGCAAATCTGCACAGAACCCTGAAACTGACATCAAGATGTAAAAAATGCTACAATTTTACCCTTTTCACATTTTAAACTCCAATGTATTCTATTGGAATTCCTGTAGCTGAATTACTCAGGATTAATACATCATCAATTAGTAGAAGACAACAAACACGCTGTTTGAAAAAATATTTTAAAAATGCCAACCTAACAGGGTGGCATCCATTAACACTGATGCCCCTAACTTTTATTTGTTTTTATATACCCTTTAATCATTCCTGTAGATCTAATTTATTTTGGAGATGCAATATAAGCAACAGAAAGAAGTTATCTAAATAACAGGAAGGAACCATCTGTGTTCAATTTGATCTCAGTGTAGAAACACCTGTTGTTAGTGAGCTAAGAGAATCATGAAGACCAACTAACACACCAGACGGTTCAGGGAGAACGCTGTGGGGAAGGTTAACACAGGATTAGGTTAGAAAGGAGCAGAAGCAGAGCAGGAGCAGCAGAGATCCACAGCTCTCTAATGAGATCCTGGTGACAGGGTGGCTATTAGTCTTTATGGAAGAATGGTGAGAAGAAAAACATTCAAATGAAATTATTTCTAGTCATGTGGAGGAATAAACAACATGTGAAAGCTAGCAGGAATCTGGTCTGATTCAAGCAGCTTAAATCCAACATTCAGTCTGTGAAATAAGGTGGTGGCAGCATTATGCTGTTGTGTTGCTTTTCTTCAGTCCAGACAGGGAAGCTGGTCAGAGTTGATGAGATAGATGCTGCAAAACACTTGCAACTTGGTAAAAGGTGCGTCTTCCAGCAGTACAACCAAACTTACACCCAGAGCAGACATAATTGTTTAAATCCAGGCCTATTTCTTTAAGTTATGCGTTTGTAGTCCAGACAGAGTAAAAAAAGGTTCAGTTAGCATCAGTTTTCAAGTCTGCCAATAGATTCTCAGTCTAACTGGACTTAAGGTATTTATTCATAAGAGAAAAGGACAATCTCTGTCTAACATGACAGGGCAGAAAAAAAGGTCAAAGATGTGTCTATATCTTTGGGATTAACTGGAATGTCTGCCCAGATGACTGAATAACAAAAAGAGTCAGGAAACAGATTTTACACACATTAAAATAACAGTTTTATCTTCAACATTTTTTTGCAAAACAACGATATATAAACGGATAGTTAGTGTTCTGCTGTTGATCTTAGTAAACAATTTATAGAAACATTCTATTTATTTTAGTGCAGAGATCCTGTATATACTTTGTATCAAAAATATTTGGAGAGAATTAATGACTATCCCTGGAGCAGCAGCTGGAGGCGGTTCAGGAGGAGCCTCCCAGGGCCACAGAGGCAGGGAGCCCACTGCTTAACAGATGTGCATGTCTGCAAAAACAGATGGAGAAAAGCATCATGCTGAGGAGGTTACACCTTCTTCTTTCACGACTAAAGCCGAATCCTGTGCATAATATAGATAAAAGAAGAAGGCGCTGCTCTGTTCCTAATGTCCTCCAACTTAGGATTTAATCAAATGTTTTGTTTAAAAACAACTGTTTACATTTTGGTTGTGCTTTTATATCTGATTTTTCGTTTGATACCAAAAAAATATTGTAAATACTTTGGAAATTGATTTTGACTAAACAAGCCACAGTCTCCTTCATGATTTAAGTCCATTAAATTAGGCTTAAATCTAAAAGCAGCAGAAGAGTTTTACTAACCCTGGTTTTATACATAGCTTGAAAAATACAATTGGGGCCAATTTTTAGTTTTTCAAATTCAGTTTTATGCAGTATTCTTATATTATTCACTAGAAAGATTAGTTTGAAAGTTTTTATATCCCTCATTTTTACATCAGATATGTTCCTTCTTTGCTGTGTTTCTCACTTTTAGGCCTTTGATGTTCAAATGAGCAAGCAACAACATGAGCTGGTAGAATGTTGCATCAGGGTGGGAACACTGGAAAAAATGTTGGCACAGAGGGAGCTGCAGCTAATGAGTTTACTGGAGGAGCGTAACTCTCTACAGGCAGAGAAGGACAGCCTGAAGATGGAGCTGCAGCACCTTGAAAGGCAGCACTACAAGGAGCTGATGGAGGCACAGAGGAAAGCTGATGCACTGATGGTAGGAGCCGATGATTTCTAAACCTCATGCTCGGCAGAAACAATCACCCAACTGTTCTTTGTTTGATTTTATTTAGATTATTTGTTGTAGATTCTCAAAGAAGTTGCGCTTAAATAAAATTAAAAAAATTATTGAAATACAAATTCTGAAAGATCTGTCTACCATTTCAGTTGCAACTCTATCCAAGTATGTCTCCACCAGCTTTGGGCCTGAAGTAGAGATTGTCTGGATGGAGAATTTTTGTGAGCATTCAGATTTTATCCCAGGTTTCAGTTAGATTGAGGTGTGGACTTAAACTAGGCCGTTCTAACACCTGAACATGCTGTGATCAAAAGCATTTTTCTTGCACCATTAGATGCTAAGAGCTGTTTGTGTTTTTGCTTATGCCTTTACCCTATTTAAACATCTAAAGATCCTTTTTTCTACTACTTTTGTTTGCAAAATAGTTTTATCTCAGTCAGACAGGATGGACAGAAACTTAATCTTACTCAGGACATTTGCTGCTTGTAACAACATTTCTTCCAGGTTTGCTCTGTATTTGGCTCCACCCATCAGCTTTGATTATCTTCCAACTCTAAAAATCATCCCCACAACATGATTCTGCCACCACTATGTGTCACAGTGGTGTTGTTGTGGCCAGGGTGTCATACAGTGTTTTTCTAGTCACACATCTTGCATGCTGGTTCAGAAGGTTTTCATTTTATCTGACCAGTGCAGCCTCCCTCACATGGTTATGTATTCCTTATAGGGCTTGCAGGTGTACCTGCTCTCTCTTCTGATGGCTAACTCTCATATTAATGATTAAAAGTGGGTAAATACAAAGGCATTACACACTTTTCAGATGTTTTCCCCTAGCTAAACTATTTTGCTTTTTTCTTTTCAATACTGAGAATAATTCTACTTCCCAGTTATGCATGGGTTGAAACATGAACATTTTTGAAAAAGTAGAAGAGGAATTACTATTTCTGAGTAGGCACAGTATATAAATATTTCTGTGTTGATAATTTTTCAGGTGCAAGAACTAAGCATTCAGAGGCAACAACTGGATAAAGAGAAAGATGAAGCTTTGAATTCACTCTGGACACGTCTTACTCAGGTATGGACTTTTGGCGCATTGTATTACATACATAACTAATTTTATACACTTGCTGAGATGCCTTTTGTCCAACATGTATGAAGGAGCACACTGAGGAGTTGTGCCGTCTGAAATATGCTCATTGGACTGAGGGAGAAGCAGCAGCATCTCTTCACAGGGAGCTGAAGGCCAAAGATCAGGAGCTGAGGCAACTTCAGATGAGTATGGATGAGTGGAAGCAGCAGACCACAGCTCACCTTGCAGACAGCGTTACAGAGAAACTCATCCCTGAACTGGAAAGGTCACTCAAAATCTTTATTCTTACATCATATCTCATCAATGTTTTATTTCAGTCTTGGTACATAAGGCATGCAACTAAACAAACATTTGCCATCCCACAGTTGCAAGTCAAAGCTGATAAGAGACAGGTAACTCCTCTCTTTCTGTAAATCATACATAACATGGTTATAAAAGCATTGTCTTACCCTAAAATGGAGCAGAAGGTATAACATTAACTTATGCCTTTTTTTCCCCTGTATGTTCTTCTTTTTGCTGTGTTAATTTTTTACACATTGAGGCAACTTTTAAAGCACATGTGTAACTATTTCCCAGAAATGCCTCAAAGATTAAAGAAGCAAGTCCTGATGGAATGATGCATGGTGCAAAGGTAAACGATATGTTAGCATTCACCTCTTCCCATTTCTTTAATAAACATTTAAACAACATTCCTATTCTCTCATCTCTTCCATCAGGAATCTCTGGAAGCTGTTTGCTCTCACTTGCATCATGCAATAGTCTGTGCTGCTGGACACATCCACTCAGACGTCTCTGTGTTTAAGCTTCTTTGCGACCTGCAGAGCAGAGTGAAGCAGCTCCTGATAGAAAATCAGGTCGTCCCAGACATGCTGAACAGAAACTTTCTGAAGTAGAGGTTTAAGGCTATATGATTCTGCATGCAAAAAGCTGTGCTGTTGAAAGCAAAACTATGCACACCCCTTAGACTTTTCTGTATTTTGTTACTTTAATGACCGACTTGGTGGCTGTGGCGTAATTGGTAAAGCAATCCAAAAGCTGTGAGTTCAATAACACCTTCCTCGTGCAACATACTGAAATGCTTTCAGAGAAGACACTTAATCCCAAGTTGCCTACAGATGTATTTATGAGTGTGAACACGTGGCTCCTATAACTAGATCTAGTGTAAAGTGCTGAGAAATGTCATTATTCTAGAAAATCGATATTTTTAATTGGGATATTATGATGACCAACACAAATATTTGTGAGGAGGAAAGAAAGGGACACCATTTGCTTACAAATTAAGAGGAGCAAAGTATGAATTAAATCCCATATTAAAACATCCTTTGGGCTATCCTTCTATGAATATAGTATTTATATTATCTTTCACATATTTTAAAGCCATCCTATTACATCTACATGTGATAGAAGAATGAAAAGCAGGTCACCGTGACATGAGGCGGCATGAGGCAATGAGGTCACATTCATGAACTCTCATTCACTCTCTTTTATGACCTGTTGAGAAACTGAACTGTGAATGAGTGGTGAACTGTAACTAAAATCATCTGACTTTTGTTAAATAAGCTAATAAAGCTATCCTGTACTTGAGGAAATCGCTTGTGTAATATTTAATTTTATTTGCCAAATTCAAACTAAATAACAATTGGTATTTTCACAATGTGCAGTTGTGTTTGATTTAGAAATGTTTTTTGAAAAATAAATTAAATGTATCTGCTTGTAGCTATTAACCCTTCTTTACATTTGACATGTTTTTTTTTCATTACTGAGGATGATTTCTTCATATGTCATCAAACCACTGAAGTTTTCATAAATGTACGGTAATATATAAAGGCTGTTTTGAATATACTATATCCATCTATTTTTAGACCTTTTTATTACTGATAGATCGTCAGGCTTGTTGCTGCTCTCAAGATGTCAAATGATAAGAGGCTGATACAAAACTGCTGTTTAGCAAAGGCAAATTGTATAGAGAATAAGTATACAAAACCTGACCATAAATATACAGCAGATAATTGTGCAAATTCAAAGACTAAATGTGGAAACACCCTTGAAAGCAGTTTTTAAATGATTAACAAATAAAACATTAGAGAACAGCAATTCCAAAAGATGTCAACCTATTTTAAGATTATTTTCTAAGTAGGACAGAGTTCTCACCTTTTGTAGATCATAACACATAATGATGTATATGATCTATCTACATAAACATTAGGCCTGAAACATGCATGCAGGTGAAGCTTTTAGTCTGTGACTCTAAAACCATCAGATTAAACCAAAAAGATAAATCCAAGTCTTGATATTTTATATATAAAATGCCTAAGAATAACAATTTAGGTGGAATATTTACATTATTTTTCGAAATTCACTTTTTAACCTACAGAGAGCAGGGTAATAAATATATTCTGTAAATTAAAAATTGCTCCAGGTTCTATTTTCTTTTTCTATAATTAACCAAATTCATATTTCAGACTTTTTTTAAGAGCATATTGTGTTAAAGTAAACCTAGCTATGTACAATGTACTCGTTATTTAAAATTTCATCAAAAAGTAAATTATTTCCAGTAATTCCGTTTACAAAATGACTGTTTTATATTAGATTTCACAAACCACAGAGTGATATTAACACATGAACAAAATTGTTGGTACCCCTTCATTTAATGAAAGATAAAACAGAAATAATGTAGATCCGACTAAAGTAATGATAACATAATTGTAAAAGAATGAATGAATAAAAGTCAGACGTTTTTTTTCAACCATGCTTCAACAGAACGAAAAATAAACGGATTTAAATGGACAATGTGACGAAACTGACATATTAAATCAAGGAGTCTGCAATCTAGTATAATATATATATATATATATATATATATATATATTAAGCTTTTTAGGCTTATCCTGTTGATGTGGTCACCAACAGTCTGCTGCAAAGCAAACTGTGAAGTCAGCAGTTTTCCTAATGGTTGTTCTTATATGTACAAATAATATTTCCTGGCAATCTTCTCTAATTTTCTAATAAACTGGATGTGGAATTTAATTAGCTTTAAGCCTTAATTATCTAAATTATAAAAATAACCACCTAAATTATAACTTAAACAAGATTAACTTTTTTAATTGAGAAACTTATATTACCTTGCTGGATAATTAGTGTGAAATCCACATGTAAAATTGTGATTAAAGTAGGATCTACTTCAGACCGACAAAAACCTTAAAGATTGTTTGGGAAATTTTGTCCAAGAAATGTTTTTTTTTTTTTTATTATAAAACAAAAGCAGCAACCCTTTATGGCAATGTACATTTGCAAAAATCAATCAAATCGTTAAAAAAATGACAGAATTAATTACAAGGTAATAAAAAAATCACAGATGTTTTAAATATCTGCACCAGAAGATGATCAGTCCTCTGTAACAAAACGACTGAGTTCATTTGAAAAGTCAAAGTTCACAGACAGTATACCTGTAACAGAGGAGGACGACTCCTCCATCACAATGTAACAGCAAACAGGAAGTCAGGCTCTTAGTGTTCTGTAGCGACTCCCTAAAAGTTTGCAGAGACCTTGGTGCTGCACTCATATTCATGTTCAACAAAAACATAAGTCATATTTACAAGACATCTATGTGCTGCTGGTCAGAAATATGTACAAAAGGCTTCTAATTTCAAAGTGAGTGTTAGTAAGGCAGTGAATCTACAGGCTTCAATAGATTCGGCCTACACCAATAACACTGTTAAATGTAATCCTCACGTATCTGTCCACAGAAAACAAACCAAACGTTGGCGAATGAATGTTGCACAAACTCCTCAAATAGAACACAGGATCAACAAGAGATCAGAACACAAACTCTCCAGCTTATTTATTCATGTTGGTCTAAATTTCCATGTCTTCTTCAGCTGAGCTCTGCAGCACAGGGAAGCTGTGCATGGGGGAGCATGTCTCTGCAGGCGGACTGGAGGGGCTGAGGGGAGGCGTGGGAGACGTACAGGGAGTTGGTATTTGCCGGGAAACTGTCTGTTTACGCTGTTTCTGTAACGAGTCCTTTAACCTCTGACAGAAAGGATCTTCTGGAGGACGCCACAGGACCAGCTCCATGCCTGAAGGACTCCTGAGGGCGACAGGAAGGAGAAGGTGAGGGGAAAATGTAGCAACAACTTCTAGTCATCTCTTACTATTGAATGAAGGTTTATCATAATTCACAATACTTTCAAACGGATCTCAAAAGATCCTAAAAATGATATTTGTTTGGACCTTGCTATAGTCTGCAGATCCTTTCACCAAAACCGTAGTTTTTCATTCCAAGTAAATATTTAAAGATAGGGTTTTATTAAATTTAGATTTACTTAAAACATCATGAAATGAAGCGAAATTACTTATTTATAACTAAAATGCCACTGTACCATTTTATTGTGACTTTTAAAACAATAGAAGCTTTTTTAGCCCTAACTGCCTAGTTTCACTCTTCCCAATTATTAAAGAGTAGATAATCAGAAAAAAATCTGTTTTTTTGTTTGTTTATTTCAGTAGGTGAACTTTGAATTATTGGGATAAAATGCATCTCGACAGTGATTGACTGCTACCTGCATTATAGGTTTCTAAAAGCCGGATGAGGTGAACCACAGCTAGAAATCACAGAATTGTTACCAGCATTGTATTTACCATAAATAATACAAGGGTTAATGGAAAATGCAATTACCTACAAAGGGGAATCGGAGTATATTTAAGACCATTTATTAAAGCTATACTTTTTTTTTTTTTAAAGGAACTACCTTGTAAACAAAAATCCTGAAAATTGAAGCTGTCTTTTTTTGCCAATCACTCAGCTGTGCTGCAGGGGGGATTTGAACATGGAACAAGTTTTGGACTTTCTTTTTAAAATTGTTTTATTCACTAGAAGAAAAAGAACTATAATTAATAACAGGTCAGATACACATGTATTTACACACCTCAAAATAAGCCGTGCCAAATGTATGACACACCTAGAATCTGCAATAAAATTTATATAGTTGAGGTATTTTTGTAAATTTCCCAAATTACTTTGTTCTTAAACTGACCAAATCCACTAGTTCACAAATTTCCTTGGGGGCAAATGTGATGAAAGGATATTTTCTGTTCAGGAACAGAAACACATGATAACACGTGATGAGCTGAACTCACTACTGCATCCAAACCTGAAGGATTATGAAGTTTATTGAGATGCACATACACAGACTGGGCCACTGTTTGTGGGAGAATATCGCTGAGGCCCCGCTGGAGACCTTCCTTTAAACTGTCTGAGATCACCAGGACCGGCCGTCTTGGCGCCGGCTCCAAGTCAAGATCCTCATCGTCGTCTTCAAGGATTATTCTGCAACACATAAAAACCAAAATAGATAAATAAAGTGCACAGTCCTGGACCCAACAAAACAAATATCAAGACTGTTTAGCAAAACAAAGCCATATCCGTCATCAGTATGTTGTGAACTCATAAGTAAATATGTATATTAGACTTAGACTTAGACTTCTTTATTTGTCATTTTGTATGCACAGGGTGCATACAGAACGAAATTGCGTTACATACAGCTTATGAACGTTGCATTGATATTTCACAATGGCACGAGTTATAGAAAAATACAAAAAGTGCAGCAGTGGTCAAAGTGTGAACAGTGCAGAGGATAAGAGACAGTGTGCAAGTTGCAGTGGTTCAGTGCAAAATGGCATTTGTGCAAAAAATGCGTTATTGAAAAATACAATGAGATGAACAATTTAAAGGGCTAAAAGTTAAAAGTTCAGCAGCATTTGATGCCCGATAATGTGCAATAGGTGCAGAGTTCGGATTGTGGATCAAAGGTTCAACAGTCTGATGGCAGTGGGGAAGAAGCTGTTGCACAACCTGGTGGATCTGCAGCGGATGCTGCGGAACCTCTTTCCAGAGGGCAGCAGGGAGAACAGTCCATGGTGGGGGTGTGAGGGGTCTTTGATGATATTACGGGCTCGGGACACACAGCGCTGTGATGAAATGTCCTTAATGGAGGGAAGAGGAGCCCCAATGATTCCTTCCGCTGTCCTCACCACCCTCCTCACATTCTTCCAGTCAGAAGCTCTGCAGCCTCCACACCACAGAGAGAGACAGCTGGTCAGAACGCTCTCTATGGTGCTTCTGTAGAAGGTTGTGAGGATGGGCGGGGGCAGGCGGGCTCTCCTCATCCTCCGCAGAAAGTACAAGCGCTTCTGTGCCCTCTTCACTAGAGATGAAGTGTTTACAGTCCAGGTGAGGTTGTCCGTGATGTGCACCCCCAGGAACTTTGTGCTGCTGACCACCTCCACAGCTGAGCTGTTGATGAGCAGTGGAGCATGGTGGGGGCGGTTTTTCCTGAAGTCGACGATGATCTCCTTCGTCTTCTCCACGTTCAGGATCAGACTGTTTTCACTGCACCAGTCCACCAGCTGCTCCACCTCCTCTCTGTAGTCCCGGTCGTTGTCGTCCCTGATGAGGCCCACCACCGTGGTGTCGTCCGCAAACTTCACGATGTGATTGGTGGTGAACCTGGGGACGCAGTCATATGTCATCAGGGTGAACAGCAGGGGGCTCAGGACGCAGCCCTGAGGGGAGCCCGTGCTGAGGGTGATGACATCAGAGGTGTTCTGACCGACCCGGACTGACTGAGGTCTGTTGGTGAGGAAGTCCAGCAGCCAGTTTCGAAGGGGTGTGTTGAAGCCCAGATGTTCCAGCTTTCCCACCAGGTGCTGTGGGATGATGGTGTTAAACGCTGAACTGAAGTCCAGGAACAGCATCCGCACGTGGGTGTTCTTCTCCTCCAGGTGGGCCAGGCTCAGGTGAAGAGCAGAGGAGATGGCGTCCTCAGTGGAGCGGTTTCGCCGGTAGGCAAACTGGAACGGGTCGAGTGTTGGGGGGAGACTGGAGACGATGTGTTCCTTTACCAGCCTTTCAAAGCACTTCATCATGATGGGAGTCAGTGCGACGGGCCGGTAGTCGTTGTAGCAGGTGACTTGAGGTTTCTTTGGCACTGGGATGATGGAGGCAGACTTGAAGCATGCTGGCACTGTGGCTTGCTCCAGCGAGGTGTTAAAAATGTCCGTGAGGACACCAGCTAGCTGACCTGCACACTCCTTGAGCACCCGCCCAGGTATGTTGTCGGGACCTGGGGCCTTCCGCGGGTTGACCCTCCTCAGAGTCTTCCACACGTCGGCTGTGTCAAGGCAGAGAACCTCCTCTTCCTGATGTGGGACAGCCTTCACTGCTGGAGTGCGATTTAGTGCCTCAAACCTCCCAAAGAAGTTATTTAGTCCGTTTAGGAAGTCAGCATCAACTTCATCCACCGGGGCAGGGGGCGTGTTGTAGTCTGTGATCGCCCGTATGCCTTGCCACATGCTCCTGGTGTTGTTGGCGTCGTGGAACAGATGCTGGATTTTCTGGTTATGGTTCCGCTTTGCTAACCTGATGGCACGGTTCAGGGTGGCTCTAGCTGTCCTCAGTGCCTCCTTGTCACCAGACTTGAAGGCTGAGTTCCGTGCTTTTAGCGCGTGGCGGACCTCCTCAGTCATCCAGGGCCGTTGGTTGGCTCGGGTGGTGATGGTCTTTGTTGTGCTGACGTCCTCGATGCAGTGGTTGATGTAGGCTGAAACAGTCATGGCGTACTCATCAACATTGATCTTGTTGTCATATGTTGCTGCTGATTTGAACATGTCCCATTCAGAGCATTCAAAGCAGTCCTGGAGTGCATCCATGGCCCCCTCCGTCCAGACCCTCACCTGCTTCACTGTAGGTTTTGCTCTGATCAGCAGGGGTCTGTATGCAGGAATTAGCATCACAGAAAGGTGGTCTGAGGAGCCGATGTGGGGGCGGGGGGCTGCTCTGAATGCGTCTTTTATGTTTGTATAAACTAAGTCCAGAGTGTTCTCTCCACGAGTAGCAAAATCCACGTGTTGATAAAAATGAGGGAGAACAGTTTTCATATTCGCCTGATTAAAATCTCCAGCAATGATGAAAACGCCCTCTGTGTGTGTAGATTGCAGCTCAGAGACAGTCCGATAGAGAACACTCATGGCCTCCTTTGTATCAGCGCTGGGGGGGACATACACCGCTGTGATGGTAACAACAGTGAACTCTCTGGGCAGGTAAAAGGGTCTGCAGCTAACAGTCAGAAGCTCTATGTCCGGAGAGCAAAAACTTGAGACTATTCTAGCATTTTTACACCAGTTGTTATTGATGTAAACACAGAGTCCGCCTCCTCGGCTCTTACCGCTGAGTTCTTTGTTTCTGTCGGCGCGGAAAGTAGCTAGCCCCTCCAGGCTAATGGCGTTGTCCGGGGTTGATGATGTGAGCCACGTCTCTGTCAGAATGAGAGCGCAACAGTCCCTAAACTCCCTCTTTGCTGAGAGCTCGAGTTGAAGATGGTCAGTTTTGTTATCCAGTGAACGTACGTTGGAGAGCAGGATGGATGGAAGCGATGGTCTGTGGGGGTTAGCCTTTAGCTTGGCTGCTAAACCTCCGCGACAGCCGCGTTTCCTCGGCCGGCTGCACCGCTTTCGCTTGGCTCTCCTCCAGCGTGAGCCGCTCGACGGGTCCGCTGCATCGCAGGCCTCCGGGGCTTGATCCCGGAGCACTCCGGAGTCACGTAAACAGTCGAGCGTAGTGGTGGTTACAAGTCCAAATACACTGCATGATCGTAACTCCAGCAGGCGCTGGCGGTCCAGTGATGATCTGCTAGGTAGATAAGCAGTTTGCAGCGGGTTTGGCGGTATATTTGCGGGTTTGGCGGTATATTACTAGAATCCAAGTAAAAAAAAGTAAAAAAATCACTAAATTTGGACTTTAGTCTGCAGACCTGACAGTGTACTAAGCATGCAAGGGAAAGAGTTAGTGGTTTTGGACAACTGAAAGTCTAATTTCATTCAGATCTGTTTTTAGTCTATCAATATTTTTAACGGAGAAAAAAAATTCATTTGATGGCAAAATATAATTACACCCAAATGAAAGAAAAATTAGTTGATAAGAAACATGACAGTTCTATGTCAATAATCCCATCGACTTTCCAAAATCATATATGACACAAATAACAGTTTAGATTGAATTTCCTAATTTATTACTAAAGTATTACATTTCTTAGCACAGAACCATTTAAAATATTTAAACCTGAACAGGCACTAAACTTGCTTCCTCCTCCTACATTATCTAACTTTTACACAACAAAATCAGGAACAGCAAAATAAATACTTATGCACTCTAAATTTCATTAGAAAACCAGGCGGAAAAGTTGCTCCTTACCGGTCTTCAATTTCCTGCAGATTCCTGTGAGCTGCTTCGATCTCCATGCAGGAGCTCTCCATCTCAGGTTGGGGCCGGACGGAAGAGGGCTGAGGCATAGAGATGGTCTGAAGAGCTGAGCATGGCTGCGCAGGAGAAACAGCAACTTGTTGTGCAGACAAGGCAGAACAATTGTTCTCCAAAATGTCCACATCTGTCTCGGGCATTAGCCTCCGCTTTTTGGCACTGCAACCCCTGACAGGGTGAAAATCAGATGTCACACATCATTCCATGCAAAAGTATTCAAACATCATGTCACATTATAACACAATTTGTGCATTCACATGTCATTAAACAAAAGTTTAATGGATACCAGTATCATTCACTTACTCATCATCTAGTCTCCGATGCTTCCTAAGGCGTCTGGTTTCCCAGCTGCTGTGGAGAAGAAAAACAAAAACATGAATCAGGTCAAAGTTAAAAGACTGCATTTTTGTTGGATTGTTGGCAAATTGCCGAAGGTAAAATCCAGCCAACATCACAATCAGTGCAATACCTCTCTGAGTTGATGTGTCTGTGAAGGCTGTCAGAGGAATGTGGGGGTCCAAAGTCAAATTCAGGTAGACTGGTGGGGCCTGAAAATGAAAACATGGCAGGCAGATACCCCAGCTCACTGTCCGAGGGGAGAGGCTGAGCATGAAGATCACAAAAAGGGCCGATCTGAAATATAAGAATTGATAGCAAATACTGAAGGGTTAAAGGTGATCTTTGCAACATGCAGGACGCACTTTTGGAAGGTTGGCTGCCATTAACAAGCAACAACACGATCTCTAATATACATTTTATGTGGTTAGAGTTTAGGTTTCTCTCTCACTATCCAAACAGGCGATGAAAATTAATAAAATATCCTCAATGAAGTTATTTATATCTTCGTACAAGTCAATGAAACAGTTTTAGAACTGACCTGTAAACATGCCCTGCCCCCTCGTCGATTTGTGTTGCTGTCGCGTGTTTAGCTAGCTCTTCTCCGCACACTTCAGGGTTATTCTTTTTTAAATTCCCATTAGCAGGTGGGGAAAAAAACAGAAACCTTTTACATGAAAATATAAACGACAGCAACGGCGCACTGACAATGCCTTCTTGGTGTTGGCTTTAAAAGTAGGACGGGTCAACACAACGTCGGATAAAAAAAATACTTACGCTGGAAGAGTCGTCAAGGTTCTAGAATGTGCGTCCGCTACGTTCAGACGCAGAGGGGAATCATGGGAAATGTAGTTAGACCTGACAAACACGAGCTATATAGAGTCCATAAAAAGAAACTGTTGTATAAATAGGTTATCCTATTCCATATTAATAGTTTAAACGACTGCTGGTTGTTTAATAGAATTTCAGCAGCTGATTTAAGTCTTTAACTTTGAAACGTTAGCCGTTCAACTCTCCCGTTGATTGGCTCAGATTAACACGTGTTTCCGAATCCAACCAATCACAATCCTCTAACTGTCGCATGCGTTTTTTTTAACTTCCTGTTTATGTTCTGGTTTAAAGACACAGTGAACCCTTTAACTCTTAAAAAGTTTTGTCATCTCAAATGACGGATCATGTGACACCGAAGCGTTGTAAGCATTTTTCTCTCAGTTTGTGCCTCACTCAGCTCTGATTCTTCGCAGTGGACAGTCAGTGAGGTACTGAGCTACTGTTTACAGCTTTGTTTGTTAATAACTGCAAACCCATTGCGACATTCCTGTTAGAGTGATGTCTTTTAGATGATCATAATGTTTGCATCTATTTTTTGATATTTTCATGTTATAGCATTCGACTAGTGTACAATCCTTTGATGCTATGTCTATGATGTTATTTAATTTCTTCTTTGTATTTTAAACAGCCAGGATGCTGCTTTTAGTAACTATTACATTACTGTTGGCTTCTGCCTCCAGCAGACCATGTGGTGAGTAGATTTTGTAAATATATGTTGATGAAATGATGATAGGTTTCTGGTCCTTTTTTTCTGAGTGTGTGGCTCTGGATTTTGATACGTAATGGTTAGGTTAAGGCATAACAAAGGTTTAAAAATAAATGTAAGTCAGTGCAAAGTCCTGATGGGTGTGTGTCTGTCTTTATTATGATGCAAGCCATGATTTTCTCAGATTTCGCAATTTTCAAAACTTTGACTCTCTGATTTGTGTACTTTGCAAGAAAATCCTGGAAGTTTTCTTCCATCTTCTGTGCCCTCCATCATCACCTACTGTAAAAACAGGATCAGGTTGAGCAGGAGAGGCTTGTAGCCGAGCGCTTGGTGGTGGAGCCTTGGCTATTATGTCATTGCTCAACAAGAAAAGATAACAGAGAGAAGTTAGGTCAGTTGGACGCAAGGGAGTTGGCCAGTAGGTGCTGAATTCTCGTGTCATAATTTGGCCTTTTAGGTTTTGTGTATTTTACTTTGTGTCTAACATTGCTCATAAAATTAGAAATATCAAAACATCCCTACTATATTCCAATGTTGCACCACAGTGCATCGGTTCTACAGCTCTGGATGATGCACCTGTGACTCAGCACTGACAAAAAAAGGAACCATCTGCAGAATCCCATAGAGAACTGTTAGAATCCTCTGTGTTTAATAAATAACAGACACAAACAGCAGATTGTAAATTAAGTATTTTTGCTTTGCGCTCAAGCTTATTTGGTTGAGATTTATCTGGGCATAGTTATTTTGTATTTTAGTCTGGATGCACTTTCTCTTAACTGCTGATGGAGCTACTGTGGGTTTTACTGCTTTAAAATTTCTAGTCGATGTCAGCAGCAATGCAGAGACGTCCCTATAATATGCTTATTTGCAAATGATCTTTGTTCCAGATACCCAAGGATCCAACCCAGAGCTGTTTCTGTCACTTAACAAGAATCTTCTTCGCTCTCTGGAAAGTCAGGAAGGACTTCCCAATCCCAGCATCCACCTGGCTCTTCGTCTTTCTCCTCACCATAATCAAGCCAAGGAGACAGATCACCTCAATAGACTGAAAAATGAACTGCATGATAACATTCAAACGTACTTTTCCACTTAGATTACCTATTTTTCTATCGCTGTTGTGTGAAAATATTAACACCTGCTGTATTTAACATTGCCTGCTCTGTTTTAGCTCCCTCACAAACAGCCAGGCTGTGAGTGGCCTTATGGCACTGTATGCTCTGGCTCTGAAGTCCTCCTGTTATGACCTCAACACCATCACCTTCATCATAAATGACAAGAGCGAGACACTGCTGACACACCTAAAGAGGCAGATGGAGCAGGAGAAAGATCACATCGCTTGTAAGATTTCCATTCGAAGTGTCAGATATTATAAAACATTTGCAGAATGGTCCTTTGAGATGAAGTCAGACTTCACTGGTGTGGATTTGTCAGAAAGATAATGCTATCCAAGAATAGGACTCCTACTAACTGATTAAAGCTTAACTGGACATAACATTTATCAAAAAATAGCACACCTCTTTTTTTGTAGTTATTAGTAAGGAAAACTCCTTTATATGTCATTTAACTTCCCTGTGTTCTTGCAGTCAGCCATCGCCCTTTGACCAACTATTACCAGTACAGCCTTGGTGTGCTCGCTCTCTGTGTGAGCGGCATACGGGTCAACAACCATGTCAGCCACAAGCTCATCAAAGCAGCTGAGAACGAACAGTTCAAACATGGAGAAACACAAAGTGTTGGTGAGTTACTTGCTATTTTTAGTTGTATAATTGAATAGACTTGATTAACAATTTCAAAACTGCATACAAAATGTAACAGCCATGATTCAATTAATAGACTGTTTTTTTTAAAAAAAGCTGAAAAAATCCTGACTTTCCTTTTTTCCTATTCTCAGTTAAAATTCTTTGTTCCAGCTTATTTTTGCTTCAGCTTAAGCTTTTTGTAATTCAAGAATTATATAAAGTCAATCTGATCAACTTGATAAATAAAATAATTTAATTAATGATTTCATGATAATGATCACTTACTGTCATTTTGTTAGCACAGACTGCATACAAAACAAAATTCGATTGCATACATCTTACAACTATGTAATGAGATTGCAATTATAAGATAACCATACAATATAAATCATAAATTGCAGCAGTAAAACAAAGTTGTTGCTTTTTTATGTGCAGAAGAATGATCAAACATGTCAGTGCAAAATAACGTGCAAGATGTTTTTAAACATAAATGGATTTAAGAATGTTCAGCCATGATAGTGCAAAATGACATTACACATTAGAAATCATGGAACAACCGAGATCTTACGGAAAACTGTATTTTTATCCATAACTTAAAAAGTGATTAGGTGTGCTGGAAATGAATTGACTGCAATACTAAAAATGTCCTAAATACTTTCCCGAATTTAACAGCAACATTATGTCCTCTCCATATGTCTTGAATAATGACTAGAGTGGCATATATTCATTTTCCTTCATGGGAACATTGTTGGACTAAATATAATCTCCCAAAAATCTTTTGTTAAATGAATTATTGTCAAGCTTTAAATGTTCTGCAATTATTTTAAAGAAATGGCATAAACAGCCCAACATTTTACATTAATTCCTGCACCTAATTCTTTGAAATGTTAATATATTAGCAACATGTAGACCAGAATGTGTTTTTGCCGTAGCCCTTTGAAAGGCTCAGTTTGACTTGTAATTCAGCATTTTCTTACCTCCTAGATACCTATGCTATGGCTGGAATGGCCCTCCAGTGTGTGAAGGATTCTGGGTCATATGCGCACAATGCAGCAGAGCTGGACACAGCTCTTAGCCAGATCAAGCAGAAGATACTGGCCTCTCGTAGAGCCGATGGTCATATTGGGAATGAGTTCAGCACGGGTCTTGCAGTCCAGGTTAGAGGTCACTCGTGTCCTGTACTTTTTCCTGTCCCTGTCTCTACTAATAACATTAAATCCTCTGTTTTTGGCTTGATTTACTGATTTAATCATTCAAGGCTTTACTGGCCATGGGCAGTGAGGTTGGAGAGTGTGCTGCCTCAATGAACGCCATGAGAACAGCTGCCAGAAGCAACACATACCACAACCCCATGGCCATTTCTCAGACTCTGCCAGCTCTCCAGAGAAAATCCTATTTGTCCGTAAAAACTCTGGACTGCCTTAATGAGGATGGTGTGTGCAGCAATGTTTCATCCTTTTTTTTTTTTTTTTTTATGGGTGTTGTTGTTTATTCCTGATGTAATTGCTCTCTTGCAGACACATTGGTGCTGGAGCCTGTAGATCCTGTGGTGGTTTTAACAAGCGACACCAAAGTGATGGTGACTGTGGAAGTAGTGACAGCCAGTGGAGCAGCAGCTGCGTACTCTGTTGACGTGCCAAAGGGCAGCTCCCTGCTGGAGGCCCTGGAGCTGCTTGAGAGGAGGGATGTGGGCTTCACGTAAGTTTATTTAATGAGCCGCAGTAAGTCATTTTCTGTCAAACCAGCTGGAGTGACTAAAATCTGATGCTGTAGATTCCAGAAGGAATCCAGTCAGTGGGGACCTTTCTTAAGTGCAATAAATGGAGAGCAGGCGAGGCAAAGCGACCGCAGATACTGGCTCCTTTCTTCTGATGGCACAGCTCTCACTCAAGGTGAGGAATCACACTTGTTGCTTTGACACTCTGTAACAGTACTCACTATTCTGTGTCAATTTCTCCTCCGGTTGATAAACATTATGCCTCATTTCCTTAGGTGTTGGTGATTTCAAGATTGACTTTGCGCAAAAGATCACCATCAAAAACACAAGTTATTGATGATGCAGCTCTAACCACTGCAATATAGAAATTCCTTACTTCCAAATGTTTTCTATTACTACTTCAATCTGGGAATAGAGATAAATCGTCTGCTACTATTTTGTTATTGTTCATTAATTAATAGAATACTATTATAATTTTCTACTACTTTAATGGCTTTGCTCTAAATATTTTTTATTTCATTACCATAAAATGCAAATGTTGTGTTTAGTTAGTATTCACAATTTTGTCAAATATGGCATAAATGAACTTTAAATCATGGCTGAGTGTGTTTGTGTTCTCTTTAAGCAAAAATAAAGTTGATGCATGTTGAAGACTATGGTATATTTTTGTTACATTTTTGTTACGAGAATATTAAGTGATGCAATCTGTCCTTCCAAAACTATTGCGATTCCTTCAATCTATTTACATTTGTGATGTTGCAGACACAATCCTAATTGTGTTTTGTTTGGATGTTATGAGATATATCAACATAGTAGTCTTTAATAAGACAGAGAACCATTCATTTCTTTTAAGTGTAGTATACTTTTGTGATTTATTTTATTTTTTTGCTTAATAACCACCTTTTTTGCTGAGTTTGTCTTTTATAAACTTTGAATATTTAGACACTGAAGTTTTTTTTCTTGTCTTGGAAATATACTTCAAATATAGTCAGAGAGGATAGGTAACATCTGTGGACAACATTTAAGTTTGTGTGTCTCACTTTGGCTGCTCTCACATTCAGGCAATACAACCACTCAGACTGTTGCTGTTATAAAATTGGACAGATGGACCCAGTATTCAAGGTGAGGCAGTCAGTAGGAAAGTTCAAAATGTTTTAACATAAAAACCCTCTCATCCGCTGGCCACCAGTTACCAGCACAGGAACCATGGTATAAACTAAACTAATTAACACTAAAACTAATTAACATTAAAACTCTTTTTTTTCATTGTTATTATAAGCATATAATAGCAAATAATTACACTTTAGATCATTGTAGTGCAGCCAAACTTGTAGCACACATAGATAACCTCTTCGAGTTCATACTACAACTCTTACTATCAGAATATGTGCTAAACTCTATTTTTTTTTTTAGATTTTTCATTGTTATTATAAGCAGGCCAGGTGTGCAATCTCTGCAACAGGAACCACAGCACTGAGCGTTGTGTTCACTGCACAAAGTATAACTGTCACAAATGCAGGAAGGACTCACCTTGGGTTCGTGAAAACTGCTAAATGGGACAATTGTAGCTTCATATGTAGTGCTTTTCCTTGGGTGGAATAAATGTTACTCCAATGAAATCATACTGTTTGTCATTTTCTAAGCTGAAATGTTGAATGACATGAAAAGGCGAGACAAGACAAAATACAATTATTCTCTTAGTTGTTCTTTCTTTCACATAGTGAGCTTTGCAATATAAATGAGTCTGTTGGCTAATGGACAATATAAATAGGCTCTGCCTTGCCTTGTTGGAAAAGCATGGTTATGACCTGTTCTCAGCATAGGAACTAGGACCTGTATGATATCTGGTTGTTCAATAGGTTTGTCTAAATAAAAGATTTAGACATGACTTATCAAGATATTCCGGCAAAAAGGTCTGATGTTGCAGGGGAAGGTAATGAAAAGTGTTTGGAAAAAATGCTCTTGTTCTGATGCCAGTTTGTTTCAGCCTTTATCCAGTCTCATGTAGAAGGGCTGGTCATATCAGAGGGTATTTACTTTACAACGAGGACAGTCAGCAAGGTAGAGTGGCTACACAAACTTGAAGAGGGGAGGGGGGCTTACAGGAAAACTGAAATTCTCTGGGACATCTAGTGTTAAACAGACAAACTAACAGGAATAGACAAAGAGATAGCAAACAATGATCTGGCCCCGATAGCTCGGGTTGAACTGAATACAAAGGAACAGACGCAGGTGGATGAGATGAGTGATAATTACAAAACCGGGCAAATTTAAGCAGGTGAATGATATGAACAATTAAGGTGAGCTACAAGGGCAGATAATGACAGTTGCAGAGTTGTTACGCTGGATGCCGTTCCTCAAGCAACCTCAATCTGAACCCTCGTCCCCTGGGTTAAAATGTAGACTTACCCTGGGGTTAAGACAGGTACAGCAACTTTTTGTTCCTACCACACATTCATAATCATATTCTGGTCTGACTTAGCCATTTTAACACACGGCTATGCTTTAAATGAATCCAGGCTATTGTTGCTCAGACCGTATGTTCAAAGTTCTACTTCAAAGTGAACCTCTGCCCAAGTTTCAAGCATTTTGCATGAGTTGCTGTAACATTTTTTTCTTCTGTCTTATGTAGTAAAGCATGCATACAACATGATCATGCAACTGCTATGTAACCCTGTAGGGGCAAAATGTTTTCTTGAAACTATAAATGCCACATTTTTATTGCTTCCACAGTATCCAACAATGTCTTATAACTCTCTGTCCCTTTAGGTGGACAGATTGTGGATTAGTGGATTAGTTCAAAGCGTGGCATATGATTTTATAAACTAATACAGCTTTAAACTTCTTCATCATCTCTGCCCTGTCTGCCATGCTCTTTGGTCTCTGTAACTCTGTAGGTTCTCAATTAAAAATGGCAGGCCTTTACAGAACAACTGGATTATCACTGAAATAAAACCACATAGCTGGACACTCAACTAACTAAGTAACTTTTAAAGTTTATCAGTTGCACTTAAGTTATTTAGAGATATCAAAAAATAATTGAATGAAAAATTTAGAGATACAGATTTTTTTAGACCAAATTAACTTTTTGTTTTATTTATTTTTGCATTTGTTATATTTACTTTTTTCAACAAAGTTTCTGAAGTTTTTCCAGACAACTCCTTTAAGCAACATCACTTACTCGGCATTTTCACATCGACAAATCATACCAAGAAATACTAATTTTAAGGAAAATATTACATAAAATATTCTTTGAGAGTATTTTATTTTGAAAGTGCAGGATGTTAAACCGGAAGTACATCTTCGTTTCTGAACTAAACTGATCACATGGTATGAATTGAATTCACAAGGTGAACAATCTGCGAAACTCTAGTTTAGTCATATTCGAAAGACTGAAATATAGAATTTGATAAGACATTTAATTTGAGCAGATATTCGGTTTTCTTCCACAGAAAGTTGACGTTACGTCAGAGTGCGGGGGTGGGGCTAGTTTACGTGAACTATTAATCTCGTGGGGATGTTTTAAGTGGTTAATAACAGACAGACCAACGACTGCGGAGGAAAAATGTTCGCTGTTTTATTTTAGTTTAATCACAATGGCTGCGCTGTTACCTCATGTTCCTGTAACAGTGAGAGGTCTGAGACAGCTCTGGATCTTTGCATCATCACGGAGGAAACCATCGAGCTGCTTCATCCTGAGAGAAATGACAACTTCATGCGGTGTTATGAATAAAAACACAAGGGATCCAAATGTTTCCTCCTTAAGAAAGCACTCGATTTCATCTAAGGATGCTGCATCGCCGGTGAGGAGAGTTTCTATTGAGGGAAATATTGGTAAGATCACTGGACGTGTAACGGTTTCAGAGTGTCAGTTGTTATTGGGTAATAAATAAAGCAGTTTTAACATTTTTGAAGGAAAGGAGATTATTTATAAGAATTTAGATTAAAGGGAGATACTCTGGTCCACACTCCAGCACAGTAGATGGCGCTAATACAACTCAACGTTACCCGCCAGTAGAAACCAGACAGAAGAAGAAGTTATTGGGCGTAAATTAACAGTGGAAATAACTTTAACAGTCATTATGTGCACTGTCTTCAAAGAACATTTTAGGTTATCATTTTGTAAACCAGAGACCCACACAGAGTGCCTCAATGGTGAGGTATAAAATGAACAATTAAGGATTTTTAGCAAATCGATTAATCAGTCGATTATTTTTTCGATTTATCAATTAATAATCAGGTAGCAAAAGGTTAATTAAAGAAGGCTTATTGTGAAATTAAACCAGGTGAAACTAAAACTTTTCACTTGAGGACTTTTGGATAAAGATATGGAAGAGGATTAGGACCACTGTAAAAATAAAAAATAAAGTTAACAGATTTTTAAATTTAATTTCAGTATAATATAATAAAAAAGTCAGAATTCTGACTTTATTCTCAGAATTCAGACTTTATTCTCAGAATTCTGACTTTTACTTCAGAATTCTGACTTTTACTTCAGAATTCTGACTTTATTCTCAGAATTCTGACTTTTACTTCAGAATTCTGACTATTCTCAGAATTCTGACTTTTTTTTCTCAGAATTCTGACATCTAACAAACATGTTAGCATCAAACCGTTGCTTTGTCTGTTTTAAAGACTAAACTAGCTCTCTTGTTTTAATCGCCTTCTGCCCTTCCATTAATAAATAGCATCTTTGTGTTAAATAACATCACGTAAAAAGTCACCTAATAACGTCATTTTCCACTAATGTGTTAGTATTTCTCCCAAACAACTCGCATCTTTGTCAGTGAAGCTGAGTGCTCCCACATCTCTTCCTTCATGGTGCCCATTTACATTAAGATCAGAAATTCTGAGATTAAAGTCAGAATTCTGAAAAAAGTCAGAATTCTGAGAAAAAAAAAGTCATAATTCTGAGATTAAGTCAGAATTCTGAGAAAAAAGTCATAATTCTGAGATTAAAGTCATAATTCTAACTTTTTTTCTCTCATATTACACTGAAATAAAATTTAAAAATCTGTTTTTTTCAGTGGCCCTAATCCTCTTCTGTAAGAACATATTGACAGACGAAAACATTTTTCTTTTCTTTTTTAATCTTAAATGCAAAAATTTTACCTCTTACAATTTTGGTATAATTGCTGCTCAAGGTGGGTTGCTTTTTCAGCTAAGAGCGTGTTTTAGAGTCACAACTCCAGTTAAAGATTAATCGATTATCAAATTAGTTGAGAATTATTTTAAATAATCAATTAATCTGATTAATTGCTTCAGCTCTAAAATGAACCTGTAATAAAATTATGATTTGTACTAGAAGTGGCTAGAAAATGCCTCAATGTTAAAACAGTCATGAAAAGAGGGAAAATAATCGGTTATAGAAATAACACTTTACACTTTTTAAATCTTATTTTTAAAACTATTATATGTAAGGTATTCCACTTCAAAGTTACCTGCCATTTGTTGTGGGTTTGACAAAAAAGAAAATCCAATATACTATTATCTTTGTGATGTTAGCATGAAAAAATACAGAATAGGTTACAGTGAATGTGTACTTTTGTATAATATTGTATTTCTGGGCGATGTGAATAAGGAGAGTCTAATTAATAGCTTGTCTTACGTGCAGGATCCAATCTAAACCTGGTGAAGCAAGTAGCACAATAAACTTTACATTGGAAAAACATTATTTTAATTTGTACAGATAATTAAAGTAGATATTAAGGAACAAACTTGATATTTGTACATTTGCGTAATTAAGTTACTGTAAGCAATATTTCATTTGCTTTTATCCTACAGCTGTTGGAAAGTCGACTTTTGCAAAACTCCTGCAGTCAGCCTCTCCAGACTGGGAGGTGATGACAGAGCCTGTTAGCGAGTGGCAGAACATTGAGGGCAAGACTTCAAAGGTGAATTTAATATTCATCTACCCACAAGAAGATTGAGATTAATTGTTTTCTCTGATAATCAAGGACAAAATAACACTACAGGCTCTCTGTATTTACCAGGAAAGGGATTCTTCACCCCATGCAACAGTCAGCAACCTGCTGCAGATGATGTACCAGGACCCTCAGCGCTGGTCCTACACCTTTCAAACATATTCTTGCATGACCCGTCTGAGAACACAGCTTCAGCCACCTCCAGCTCGTCTCCTCAACTCCAAGGCGCTTCCTGTCCAGGTGTATGAGCGCTCCATCTACAGCGACAGGTGAGGAGGTGGGGGAAAAAAAACAACACGTCTGTGTACTTAAAGCAAGCAGTTTAAATAACATTTAGTTCTGAAGAATTGGGATTTGGATCTACATAAATTGGATGATGTGCTTGATAGTTTTTTAAATTAAATTTTAGGAAACATTCTGAATGTCAAGTATTGTGTACAAGACGTTTTATTCTTCATGCTTAACCTTCACTCTTCTCTGTCAGATACATCTTTGCTCTGAATATGTTTGAACTGGGCTGCATCAATGCCACAGAATGGATGGTTTACCAGGACTGGCACTCCCTTCTGGTGGAGCAGTTTGGACACCAGGTGGAGCTGGAGGGCATCATCTACCTCAGAGCCTCCCCCCAGGTATGGATGTCAGTAATATTTGCTTTTTAGCTATAAATGTAAGCCCTTAAAAATGACTCATAACAAACTTGGCACCTTACCAGAAATGCATGGAGCGTCTAAAGCTACGGGGAAGGCCAGAAGAGAAAGGAGTACAGCTAGACTACCTGGAGAGGCTTCATGAACAGCATGAGAAGTGGCTGGTAGAGAAGAGTACTGAGTAAGAAGATGAACACATTCCTTATAAATACAATTTTGGTTAAAAAAAAAAAAAGAAAAAAAAATTACATCCTAATTGCTACAAGCGTTTTACACATTACAGCATAAAGAAAATAACCTTTTATTATGGTGAGACTGTTAGGTTCATTCACTGCAGCTGGAATGTCGACCCAGCTTTCACTGCGCTTCACTGAACTTGTGAACTGAAGGTGGAACAACTACTGTCTCCTTATACTTGATCTAAGCAGGATCTCCTCATCCATAGATTGAGGTGGAGAAGAGATCCTGTTTTAATTGTGGTTCTATTTGTTAATGATCAACTGATGAAATGATGTTCCAGAAAATGATTAAACAGAAACCATGGAGTGTAGAAATATTCTGTCTGTCTGAATATGATGATCTGGTTCACCAAGAATTAACTTGGTTGAGATGAATAATTTTTTTTTTTTTTTTTTTCTAATAAGTTGGGATCATAATGACACCAAAATAATGAATTTGATTTTACAACTTGAAGATCTTTCCCTTTGAGGGAAACTTTTGGACATGACCTCGATGATAGACAATGAGGATATCTGACTTTGTTGTGTAGAATTATGGACTTTAAAATTATTTGTAATATTTACCAAATTGAGAGGAAACAGCATTTCCTTCTTCAAAGTGATTTCCTTTGTCTTGTCATTTTTGCATAGTGTTAAAACAGACTTTTTTTTTCTCCAAATGAAGGAAACACCAAAAATCCTGATTTTTATAGTAATCTTTATTTTGTTGACACGGTTGCTGCGATCTCATTGAAAATCATTTAGTCATTTTTTAATTATTATGTTTTTAAATTAAGGCCTTAATTGGCATGAAAGTCATTAAATGGGATTATCGTGGCATTAAAAATGTTTTGTTTTTTTTCATAAAAACAATTTCGCTAGATATATCTGATTTATTTTGCACGGAACTAGTTTCAGTTTATCGTAAAGCTGTAGGTTTGGAAAAGAAGCTCGAGGCGGAGAAAAAGGATTTGCATAGGAAAATGCAAAAATCAACAAAAGCCTTTATAGATGACAAAGGATTTTGCCGTTATATATATATATATATATATATATATATATATATATATATATATATATATATATATTTGAGAGTCATGGGTACTTGTTGATGGCATTAACATTCTTTCTAACAGCATTAAAAGAGAATTAAAAACCATTAAATTAGAGTTACTCATTCCTTTATGTACCCTGGTTGATGATCAATATTTTAAACTATTTAAGTTATTTGTTTATCTATATTTGCAGAATATGAATTTGGTAAACCTAAAACTATGCCACTTTAGGAGTTTGGAATAGATACTCCTGGTATATCCTGTCATATTTACAGACAAAGGAAGATTTTTTTAAGAGTAAACAGCATAACCTATTTATAAATATTGTTTTATAGTAGTTTTAATAGATAGTTTTATAAACATAAATAAAGAAAAATTTTCTCTGATTCCTTTACATACCTAATCATTAAACAATTGTCCATTAAATGGGTCTGTTAACCAGCAGTTGAACAGCTGGCAGTCGTTGGTATTTGAAGACATTAATATGCTCAGGCACACCTTTGGTCCTTTTATTCGTAGGATACACTTCAAGAAGTTGAAAAACATTCCTGTCCTGCAGCTTGATGCCAATATGGAGTTTAAGAGCGATCCTGAGGCGCGGGAGGAATTTATTACAAAGGTACCTTTTATCTGAATCTGCCGCTTCATAGCTGCTTTACCTCAAAGAGCCACACGGGGGCTCTAATGTTTCTTAGCTTATAGATTGATGAATATTTTAAAGTTGATGCAATGTTTGATGTCTAAATGTTTATAATCCATTGTTTTACTAAAGTATCGTTCCTCCAACACACAGGTGAAAAACTTCTTTAGTGCCTTGTGAGAAGATTCTTCCCCACAGCAGGAAACAGAAGACCTCACACTACCACAAAAAAGAGTTACATAATATACATGTATTTTTATGGTGTTATCTTTGCATCACCACTCTTATTTAAGATTCATAGAGTTTGTTTGTATAAAAGTATTTCACCTCTTATGATCCATTTGTTTGTTCTGACAGCGATGGGTCATTGTTTTCCACACCAGAATTCTTATTTAGTCATAAGAATAATCAGTATTCTTATGCTGAAGAATCTGATAGTTTTTATACCAAGTATTCATCATAAGCTAAAGATTTACTGTGAACAACGTCACACAGGGTTGACTGGATTTTCTGTACTTTGTTGACTAAATAAAAAAATTTTCTTAAAATTTTTGTTCTTAACTTAATCACAGCGTGTTTGCTTCCAAACACGCAAAATAAAATATTATACATTTATGATAGAGCCATGACATAAAAACCATAACCAGTAAATATTAGTAAGACTTTCAATTCCTTTCTTCTAAGAGGCACGGTTTATCATTGTCATTTCAACAGATTCTCTCTCCCAATCTGTTGCTCTCCACAACTCTTTTAAGGTTATCATTCGACTCTTCTGACTGATTATCTGCTCATCCAGCCTGTAGCTTTAAGTGGACAGCAATTTAAGCCACAAGCACAAATCTGCCTTCCATTGAGGAAGGAAAAGATGAATTTTTATAGGGCTGAAACAATCAGATTATTTGGGACTAATCAATTACTGAAATAATCGTTGACTAATTTGGTAATCAATCATTAATTGGAGTATAGAGACTGTAAAATATGCCTTTAACTGACAGAGAAACCCACTTAGAGCAGGAATTATACTAAGTTGTGAAAAAATATATACATATATTTTGCATAATAAACATTTTTTGTCCTCCAATATGCCCTATCCAGAACTCCTCAAGTGTAAAAAATAAATGACAGATTAATTAATGACCAAAATAATTTAAAGTTTCAGCCCTATTTTTCTATGTTGGTGAATTATTTTAGTAAACACGAACAGCTAACACCTGCAAACAGAAAAAGCAGTAGGAAATTTATACAGCAAAAGTCACATTTTAACCACTTTTCAATAGAAAACATAATTCGGAAGCCGACACCATTTTGTTCACCTATCCTTCTGCAACTTGTGACAGACTGCCATGCAATGTGGCATGAGTCATAGTAATTACTACTGTTCGATACTATTAATGACATTTGGCAATGTCATTTAAACTATGTTAACAACTTATTTACTGTACTGCATACAGCATTGATGAGGTTCCATCTGTACACTTTACTGCACCTTTATAGTCCACTCGAAAAAAATGCTCTTGAGAAATAGCTCTTTTTTCCCAAAAATAAAATAATACTATTGGTTTTAACCTTTTCCCGTAAGGGCAATTTTGTTTTTGATAGCTTTTTCTCTGCAATCATTAACCACCACTGTGCTCATCCCTGCCAAGTGATTTGTTGTTTATTTGTGGATGTAGCTGTAGTTCCTTTCTAAACCAGAGAATAGCAGCAGCAATAATCTTAAATAAATGTCTTAATTTAACACTTTAGTTAATAATAAATGAACCATAAACTGACAGCATAATTACAGCATTCAATTATTCATATCAGTATACTAACATTAAATATGACATCATTTTTTTTTATAGTGTTTTGTGGGGAGATTATAAAATAAAGTAATAAGCATTTTTGCAAGTCTATAAATAATGTTAAGCTTCCTTTGGACTTAATGAGGTATACGCTCAAGTGTCTAATTATTTATATAATAAATTGTGGATTTAAAAGTTGACGGGACAATGACCTTGGCTAAAAGTCCTCCTTCTCGGGGACTGTGATGTGCTCTGATGATCAGAGGGGCCGTTAAGATGCCTGCAGTGGTCAGGGGTCATCAAAGGGCAGCTGTCCACTATAAAAGACCTGTCTGCAGCTCCATCTGCACACAACATCATTTGTGCCCGAGAGAAGCCAGAGGAAGGACAGACTGAGGCAAATCTTTTTGGGTTTCAGCTAAAATGGAGTGCAGAGGTCTTCTTGTTTTCTGCACGCTCTTTTTCTGCTCTTTAGGAGTCATTTACTCATCTCGGGCCCGCAGACATCACACACACCTGGAGAACAGTTCAGCGTATATAAATCATTCAGCTAGTCATCGTATTAGATACCCTTCATACATGATGCAGCTGTACCGCTCCTTCAGTGCCGCCGACTCCATCTCCTCAATGGCTGTCAACACCTTCACAGCTCAAAGGGACCAACCTGCAGTTCACAACTCAGATTCTGTCCTGAGTCTGATGGCCAAAGGTTAGTAAAACTGTTTCCTTTATACTTTTAATACTGCTGTGATCCATCTGTCATCCAGCTGCATTAAGTTATCAGACCCTCCCTTTTTACAACCCAGCAAGTGACAAAATGCTTATTGGACTTTAAAGGGCCGGCTCTGTTTTATGTGGGGCGGTTGTATATTAGCCCTCAGACGGCCTTGTGCAGGGGGGTCCAATACACATCCTGTCCCGTTTCCCCTCTCACTTCTGCGTTTTGACATCTGTCCAGCAGCTTGGCCCCTAAACATCCACTCAGTCTATCAGTGTCAGGCTTTGATTTCTCTTTCTTCTTCCCTTTAATTAAGGTTGCCATCAAGCGGGTGACACATGGACGGTCACATTTGACATGTCCTCTATCTCTACCAGTCAGCTTGTCCAGCTTGCTGAGCTTCAAATCCGACTCCCGGCTTTCTCTGCCTCCAAACGTGCCACTGTGGATTTATATCACTCCCGGAAACAGAGCTGTGACCCGGACAGCACTTTGTGCGAGGTTGTCTTCTTGGGGAGCTTTGCCACAAAACCAAGTATCACAAAGTCTTCCTGGAGGGTATTCGATGTGACCGCTCTCTTGAAATACTGGCTCTATCAGGGAGGTGAGGTGCTGAACCAAGAGTCTTCTGGGGAGCCTGAGAACAGCGATGGGTGCAGTCAAGATGTGGGCAACTGGGGAACAGTGCAAAGAAAAGTACAACATCCAACCACAAATCGGGTAATGATGGTTATCTTCTCCAAACACAACATGCCCCAGGATGCCCCTGCAGCTTACAGTCTTATTCACACTGTAGAGAACTCCAAGTATCTAAAAGCCAACAGGGTCAAGATTGACAATCAAAGCAGACGCCACAAAAGGAACCGATTGGGGGCCCTGAGAGTTATTGACGGACCTGTACCTACCGTGGCCCCCGTAGTGGAGCAGGCTCAGGGGCCACTGTGTCGTAGGGTGGATATGTGGATAGACTTTGACCACATTGGCTGGGATGAGTGGATCATCCATCCTAAGCGCTACAATGCCTATCGCTGTGAGGGAGAGTGTCCGATACCACTGGACGAGTCCTTCAACCCCACCAACCACGCCTACATGCAGGTAAGATGATGACCACATAGTTTAGCTTTCTTTTGATGCAAAGTTGTTGATTTATTTAAGTGAAATGATAACTTTCAGAGCCTGCTCAAACATCACCACCCAGGAAGAGTGACTTGCCCTTCGTGCGTGCCAACGCGCCTCACCCCGCTCTCCATGTTGTACTACGAGAACGACGACCTGACCCTGCGACACCACGAGGACATGATTGTTGAGGAGTGTGGTTGCCATTGAAGCCAACCAAAATTACCAAATTACTATCAAATTAAACTTGAATTATTTTGTTTTTGTTCTCATATAAATTGTAATAAAAAAATTGTAATGAGCATTTCTGGTCATGACCGTCTACTGAAAGCCGTTTTCAGTGGGAATAGATTTATTAGTAATTTTCCACCATTTCATATATGTTAAAACAATGTAAATGTGAATATTATGTCTATTTATGCACAATAATGTATATTTTTGTATATAAAATATAAAAGAATATATTAAAATCTTTTATTTAAAGAAAGAGTTGAATTATATGCTTTATTTTAATGGATGTCTGTTCTGTTGTTAAATAAATGGCACTATTTCGTTACAGCTAGATTTACAAAGGTTGAAACCACACCAATGAGGCTTCAGTGGGAGTCATATGTTGAGATATTTAAGTGCTGTATAGCCAGGTTTGAAGTTTAATTGTACATGCCAATTATTTTCCAATATAGTGCATCACTCACATTTCAAAATCTGAACAGTTATATGGCTTTTAAATAAATGTTCTCTCTATAAGTCACCTAAATGGTTGTTAAATTAAACCTTTGTGTAATTTTATCTCGGCATGAATGCAACTAAACCTGAGGTTTGCAAGAGAATGTGACCAAGCTACATATTAGACAAGTCAGCAAGAAAGTTGTAGAGAAGTGTAAAGCAAAAATAGCTCAGAAGTTTTCGAAGCTTTGGAAATCTAACAGAAGAGCAATTGACCCATGCTCTAAATGTGAAAAAAGCATGACACAACTGCAAACCTACCAAGAATAACTGTCTGCCTACATCAACAAACTAAGAAAGGGAAAATACTCTGATCTGAGAAAGAGTTAAAAGGTCAAAAGTAAATCTGCTGGAGATGTAGAGACATGAACAAGACATATATTTTTTTAAAGTTACAAATCTGCCCTTAATAATAATTGAACTTTATTGATCTCACACTGGCGAAATGTACTTCTGCATCTTAACCCAGTGGGCTGCCACTGTGCGGCACCCGGGGAGCAATCGGGGGTTAAGGGTCTTGCTCAGGAACTCAGAGTGGATCGCACCAGGTACTTATAAGCTTCTCAGAGCACAAGCACACTGCTCTACCCACCAAGCCACCGCTCCCCTAAAGGAAGAGATGCAATAAGAAAACTCCAATTTGAAACCTTGTTCATCGTCGCCATTAAAATGGACACTGCAAATGTAGAAGATTAAAGCAGAATTGTACTTTTTGAGCCTTCATGCAAAATGTATGTAATACACCCTCAATGTGAAACCTTACGGTGGTAGTGTCATGAGGACGATTTTCTTTAGAAGGAACAGGCAGGTTTTTCAGGGTTGTAGGGAAAATGGATGAAGAGATCACTAATGAGCAACGGAATTATGTTCAGAAAAACTGTAAATACAGAGCAACATTGCATATGGATTTGTAAGGAATTCAACAATCCAAGTCCAGACCTAAATCATAAGGAAAAATTTAATAAAACCTGAAAACTGTTGTTTACAGAGAATCTGAGACTTAGACTGAGCTATTTTCACTGCGATAATTAAAGCATACTAAGTTTTATTTTCCTTTTCCCTTGATTTGAGCAGTGAAGTAAGAAAATTTACCAATGGAATAAGATGACTAAAGCTTATAGAAAGAAGAAAAGCAACTCGTGCATATCTAATTATTTGTACTTTTAATCTTAAACATGTATGTACTTTTAGATCAGTTAGTCCAGTGTTGCAAAGAAAAACACATTTATCTCAGCTTCTAAATGTACAAAAAAGACTGCTGTTAAAAGGTGCTTTACTAAGTATTGTGTAAGGGGACATAATGAAATTCCACAAAACACAGGTTCAATTTAAATGAATTGTTTAAATAGTCTCTTCACACCTAATTAACAGATCACCCACATATTCATCAAGGTTTTACCTTGTTGACTCCTAACCAGCAAACAGTTTAGTATGCTTACCTTTTTCACCTTCAGCAATCCACATCTTAGGCACTTTACTGCACACTCATTACAGGTGTCATTAGCTGTGCTCCTAAACCAGGCTTCTTTTGTTGATTGAGAACAACAGGCACAAGGGCTAAAACTGCAGAAACCTTCGTAGATCAATGGACCAGAAAGAAGGCAGAAGTGATTGTTTATCTTGGAAATGGGGGATGGAGTGTCAGGAAGCAGAGGTGACGCAAGCAAACAAAGCCATGAAGAGGAGTGGAAAGAATCAGAAGCTGTAAAGTGAGGCTACTGTACAAGAAAAAACTGAGGGGGGTGATCTTAATTTATCAACGTTTTAGAGAAATTGTCACATCTTAATAAAATATTTCTTCATTAGTATAATAGAACCTCAAAACTTTTGTTAATATTAATGCTTAAAACACCTAACACCTCCTAAGACTTGGAGGAGAATCCCTTAAAAATATTATTCTAAGTTGATCAGATAATGCATAGCATCTCTCTAAGCTAGAGAAGATAAAAGAAAATGTTAGAAATATCCTCTTGAAACGTGATAGATTAGATTAGATTCAACTTTATTGTCATTACACATGTACAGGCACAAGGCAACGAAATGCAGTTTAGGTCTAACCAGAAGTGCAATAGCAGCAAGTGCAGGATAAATAATGGTTCCATAAATACAGGACATGGGTTTCTACTAAATGTGTAGAGATGAATACTATTATAAATAATGAATATAATATATAGATCACTAGTGTTATGAACTAAATTTACAGCTGGATATGTACCGAATATAATATACAGGTGGATATTACTATGAAAAAGGTGTTTACAGTTATGTACAATAGCATACAGATGGGTTTTACTAAAAAGTGTATAAATAAAGTTTGGACAGAAGCTAACTAAATTAAAGTGCAGAGGAAGGTAATTGCATATTACAGTTAAAGTACATTGCAAATGTATATGTAAACAATTGGTACTGTGAATAAACAGTCAGCAGTGCAAATATAAGCAGATAAGCATATAAGCAAATTAAGTAGAATGATGATCTTGAATGATACCATGGCTGAGACGGTCTCTTACAAAACTATTAGTAGTCCTTAAACGTTTTCACATTGTTTACAATAATCTTAAAAAGGACAAATTTCTTAAAATAAAATGTATAACTGCTGTGTACTAAATTAAAACCTTAAATAACCATCTAGAAATTTAACAAAACTTTTCCCCCATGGGTTTCCCACAGATTCTCAATATAGTAGAATATTTTGGGTCTTTACTTTGATTAGGCCATTCTAACAATTGTTGTAAAATCATGTCTCTGGCTGTATACTGAGGATCAATCTAAAGGTAAATGTCTTCCCCAGTTCTCAGTCTTTTGCACCCTATAACATGTTTTCTTCAATAATTTCTCTTTATTTAGGTTCATACATTTTCCCATCAACTCTGACCTGCTTTACTGTGCTAAGATAAAAACATTCCTACAGCACTATCATGTAATTTTCTCATCCCATTGTAGCAATAACATCCTCAGGTTAATCTGGTGTTTTTGGGTCACTTACTGATTTTTGTGAATTAAATAAAAGTCGTTTTGGACTTTCTATTCTCCTATTTCTGTGTCTCTTACATGGACTGTTGCAAATTTCAAAGGGAACATCTTTTCTTTGAATGAATCCCTTCTGCTTCCTACTTCTTCACATAAGTCAGAGATGTGGATTGCATAAATAATACTGTAGTTATCTGATCAAAAGATTCTTCTAGCAAAGCTACAGGGATCCCTGGCTGCCTCTCTAACTGAAGCTATGTTATGTTTCCAATGTTTTATCATTGGCTGGTTTCCAGGGTGTTTTTCCTGATCTGTCTGCTTTCTTTCTAGATCTTAATGATGCTCTCTGGTAACTATTTTTTTGCAACAAAGGCTCTAAGGTATTCAGAGAACAGCTGGATTCATACCGAGTTACATGAAATAGATTTCTGATAGTTATGAGTAGTGGAGTTTTTTACTTTTTTTTTGAAAAACCTCAGAATAAATCCATGTTTCCTTTTTATTTTTAGTTGAGACCTGGACTACTTTTTGTTGAGGTATCACATTAAGGCTTACTAATATCTAAATTGTCATATTGTAGGTTAAAAGGGGAAGAATTTCAAAGGGATTAGCAAGATAGTTTAAATATTGCAGGCTTTTATACACAGTTTATTTCTAAAGTGATATAAGAGAACAGACTTCTGTGATGGCCTCAAAAACAGTGCGACAGTCCGACAGTCCCAGACCTTAACCTCATCTTGTTGGGCCATTATCATTAGCTGGCTAATATAAAAACTGGTTTAACTCGATTTTACAAAACTGATAAAATTACTTTTGTGATTATTTTTCTAGAAAAATTTAAGATTCTTTAATACAAATTTTTGTTTGCAGGAATGTATTTATATTCAAGATATGAAGACAGCTAGCATATGTGGCAGCTAAAATTTGTTGTAAAAAGAATATTGTAAGTTATATGGAGTTTTTATCCAGGTGTATTAGTAGTATATACTGAATGTTTGAGCATATGAAAATGTCTTCATTATTTAGTAGTTTTCAACATTAATTTGTAATATTAAACAATTGTTTTTGCTGATTTATTTACCAGAGATATCTGGGCAAAGTGAATCTGACAGGCTTCACCTTGAGTAAAAGTGTTGAATGGAAGGCGGGAGTTTCTCCCTGCTATGTACACTTGTATATTGACCTCTCTTTAGGCATCCTACTGGCTGAGGTTATCAGCCAGCAGCGTCTTTGAGGAATTCCTCTGAAATGACTCGTCCTGAAACAGCGACAGGAGGTTTTGCAGCCGGCAGAGCAGGTCGCTGCACATTTGCCCCAAAGAAATGTATATTAGCAACCTGTGGATGTTTTTTTTTTTTTCAAGCAAACATTGCTTTTCATAGATGTGAACAAAAATGTGCTAAACAAAAAAAAGGGACAAAAGAGAAAAGGTTCATTTGTGTTTCCTTTATTCACCCCACAAACCGTGAAAAAAACTGTTTTGTAAGATCAAAAGAAAGTCAGCTTCACATTGGTTATGTAACACTTCAGGTAGAGGAGATTTAGAGATCTAGAGAGAGCTGGCAGGATTATGAAAGCACACTGAGCAACAAGCTCTCCTGGAGTGAATGTTTATTCAGAGGATTGGATCTAGATTTCCGTCATGGATGAGGCATTGTTGGTCTTAAGTACCTTCAGAGGTGACTCTTTTGTTCTTACTGCAGCGACTACAGGAAGGCA